GTATGTTAGACTGAAGAAACTCACCCATGGACTCTTTAAACCTTTTGTTGGAGTGGTCTGTTTAACTTGTTAATTTTATGTTAGACTGAAGAAACTCATCCATGGACTCTTTAAACCTTTTGTTGGAGTGGTCTGTTTAACTTGTTAATTTTATGTTAGACTGAAGAAACTCATCCACCTGGACTCTTTAAACCTTTTGTTGGAGTGGTCTGTTTAACTTGTTAATTTTATGTTAGACTGAAGAAACTCATCCATGGACTCTTTAAACCTTTTGTTGGAGTGGTCTGTTTAACTTGTTAATTTTATGTTAGACTGAAGAAACTCATCCACGGACTCTTTTAAACCTTTTGTTGGAGTGGTCTGTTTAACTTGTTAATTTTATGTTAGACTGATCTAAACTCATCCATGGACACTTTAAACCTTTTGTTGGAGTGGTCTGTTTAACTTGTTAATTTTATGTTAGACTGAAGAAACTCATCCATGGATTCTTTTAAACCTTTTGTTGGAGTTGTCTGTTTAACTTGTTAATTTTATGTTAAACTGAAGAAACTCATCCATGGACACTTTAAAACCTTTTGTTGGAGTGGTCTGTTTAACTTGTTAATTTTATGTTAGACTGAAGAAACTCCATCCACGGACTCTTTAAACCTTTTGTTGGAGTGGTCTGTTTAACTTGTTAATTTTATGTTAGACTGAAGAAACTCATCCGTGGGACACTTTTTAAACCTTTTGTTGGAGTGGTCTGTTTAACTTGTTAATGGTATGTTAGACTGAAGAAACTCATCCATGGACACTTTAAACCTTTTGTTGGAGTGGTCTCTTCAACTTGTTAATTTTATGTTAGACTGAAGAAACTCATCCGTGGACACTTTAAACCTTTTGTTGGAGTGGTCTGTTTAACTTGTTAATTTTATGTTAGACTGAAGAAACTCATCCGTGGACACTTTAAACCTTTTGTTGGAGTGGTCTGTTTAACTTGTTAATTTTATGTTAGACTGAAGAAACTCATCCATGGACTCTTTAAACCTTTTGTTGGAGTGGTCTGTTTAACTTGTTAATTTTATGTTAGACTGAAGAAACTCACCCACAGACTCTTTAAACCTTTTGTTGGAGTGGTCTGTTTAACTTGTTAATTTTATGTTAGACTGAAGAAACTCATCCGTGGACACTTTAAACCTTTTGTTGGAGTGGTCTGTTTAACTTGTTAATTTTATGTTAGACTGAAGAAACTCATCCATGGACTCTTTAAACCTTTTGTTGGAGTGGTCTGTTTAACTTGTTAATTTTATGTTAGACTGAAGAAGCTCACCCACAGACTCTTTAAACCTTTTGTTGGAGTGGTCTGTTTAACTTGTTAATTTTATGTTAGACTGAAGAAACTCATCCAGGGAGTCTTTAAACCTTTTGTTGGAGTGGTCTGTTTAACTTGTTAATTTTATGTTAGACTGAAGAAACTCATCCATGGACACTTTAAACCTTTTGTTGGAGTGGTCTGTTTAACTTGTTAATTTTATGTTAGACTGAAGAAACTCATCCATGGACACTTTAAACCTTTTGTTGGAGTGGTCTGTTTAACTTGTTAATTTTATGTTAGACTGAAGAAACTCATCCGTGGACACTTTAAACCTTTTGTTGGAATGGTCTGTTTAACTTGTTAATTTTATGTTAGACTGAAGAAACTCATCCATGGACACTTTAAACCTTTTGTTGGAGTGGTCTGTTTAACTTGTTAATGGTATGTTAGACTGAAGAAACTCACCCATGGACTCTTTAAACCTTTTGTTGGAGTGGTCTGTTTAACTTGTTAATTTTATGTTAGACTGAAGAAACTCATCCATGGACTCTTTAAACCTTTTGTTGGAGTGGTCTGTTTAACTTGTTAATTTTATGTTAGACTGAAGAAACTCATCCACGGACTCTTTAAACCTTTTGTTGGAGTGGTCTGTTTAACTTGTTAATTTTATGTTAGACTGACGAAACTCATCCATGGACACTTTAAACCTTTTGTTGGAGTGGTCTGTTTAACTTGTTAATTTTATGTTAGACTGAAGAAACTCATCCATGGATTCTTTAAACCTTTTGTTGGAGTTGTCTGTTTAACTTGTTAATTTTATGTTAAACTGAAGAAACTCATCCATGGACACTTTAAACCTTTTGTTGGAGTGGTCTGTTTAACTTGTTAATTTTATGTTAGACTGAAGATACTCATCCACGGACTCTTTAAACCTTTTGTTGGAGTGGTCTCTTCAACTTGTTAATTTTATGTTAGACTGAAGAAACTCATCCGTGGACACTTTTAAACCTTTTGTTGGAGTGGTCTGTTTAACTTGTTAATTTTATGTTAGACTGAAGAAACTCATCCATGGACACTTTAAACCTTTTGTTGGAGTGGTCTGTTTAACTTGTTAATTTTATGTTAGACTGAAGAAACTCATCCATGGACTCTTTAAACCTTTTGTTGGAGTGGTCTGTTTAACTTGTTAATTTTATGTTAGACTGAAGAAACTCACCCACAGACTCTTTAAACCTTTTGTTGGAGTGGTCTGTTTAACTTGTTAATTTTATGTTAGACTGAAGAAACTCATCCGTGGACACTTTAAACCTTTTGTTGGAGTGGTCTGTTTAACTTGTTAATTTTATGTTAGACTGAAGAAACTCATCCATGGACTCTTTAAACCTTTTGTTGGAGTGGTCTGTTTAACTTGTTAATTTTATGTTAGACTGAAGAAGCTCACCCACAGACTCTTTAAACCTTTTGTTGGAGTGGTCTGTTTAACTTGTTAATTTTATGTTAGACTGAAGAAACTCATCCATGGAGTCTTTAAACCTTTTGTTGGAGTGGTCTGTTTAACTTGTTAATTTTATGTTAGACTGAAGAAACTCATCCATGGACACTTTAAACCTTTTGTTGGAGTGGTCTGTTTAACTTGTTAATTTTATGTTAGACTGAAGAAACTCATCCATGGACACTTTAAACCTTTTGTTGGAGTGGTCTGTTTAACTTGTTAATTTTATGTTAGACTGAAGAAACTCATCCGTGGACTCTTTAAACCTTTTGTTGGAATGGTCTGTTTAACTTGTTAATTTTATGTTAGACTGAAGAAACTCATCCATGGACTCTTTAAACCTTTTGTTGGAGTGGTCTGTTTAACTTGTTAATTTTATGTTAGACTGAAGAAACTCACCCATGGACACTTTAAACCTTTTGTTGGAATAGTCTGTTTAGCTTGTTAATTTTATGTTAGACTGAAGAAACTCATCCATGGACACTTTAAACCTTTTGTTGGAATGGTCTGTTTAACTTGTTAATTTTATGTTAGACTGAAGAAACTCACCCATGGACTCTTTAAACCTTTTGTTGGAGTGGTCTGTTTAACTTGTTAATTTTATGTTAGACTGAAGAAACTCATCCATGGACACTTTAAACCTTTTGTTGGAATAGTCTGTTTAACTTGTTAATTTTATGTTAGATTGAAGAAACTCATCCACTCTGTAAATCTTTTGTTGAGGTACTCTGTATTCTAGACTAATAGTGTTACTGGTATGTAAGACATAAAAGTGATGATTTAAATAGCTGTATCTGTTCAGATCTCCTGGAAATTGTTGGAATGCATTCTCCATTTGTTTACATGTAGGTGCAGTATTTGTGTTTGGTTAATCATTGTTTAAAGCAAAATTGTCGCCACCTAGGTGTGGACTGCCAGAGCAGGGCTTGTGTCTGTGGGCAATATATGTCCTGTCCAGATCAACCTGCTCAACACTGATGTGTAACGTGTAATTTTGATGATTCATTTAGCCATTCCTACTTTGATCTCTCAGACCTAGTGAATATGATTTGAGTTCCTTCTTTACATGAAGGATGCATAATTTGTGTTGGTTTAAAGGCATATAGCACACCACACTTCTCAAAAAATACATAATGCATTTCTCTCAATGAAAGTCACTAGCAGCCCTCAGGGAAGCTACCATATACTATATATTCCCAAAATAATTACGTATTTATATTACAGTATTAAACTAAAAAGTCCGAATTCATGCAATGATGCATTAAGTCAACTCTTTCACCCTCTACCGACCGAACATTATTTTAAGCGAACCCCAGTGAGTATATCCCTTGGAGCGTGCTCTTTACGAATATTTTACGCAAGACTTGTGATTGAAACTGGTTTGGCAAACACCAACAACACCGTATGCAACAGTTTTTGATATACAGAGCATTTGTTTACATTCCATATATGGCAAGTGTTCTCTGTTTGAAGCTATTCGCCTAGAAGTTTCAATTACTGATTTCAGGCAAGTCGTAAGAAATAATAAGTCTTTTATATCATATGCCCCAATATGTATAATATAGGCAAAAATATCGTCTAGAATGTGTGACATTGTGCCTTTAATCATTACTTCAGAATTGTTGACACCCAGAAGGCTTCCTGTGCATGTCTTGTGTCTGTGAGCAATACTTGTCCTGTCCAGACCAACATGCTCAACCTGACAGGAGTGGCTGGAAGGTTACCAGCATCACACAAATATCGAAACTTTTAACCTGTCTTTGCTCTATAAATACTCCAGTTGTACCATTGGTTCACAAGTAGCAAATTATTCATGTGAATGTGCTGCTTTGTGAGTGAGTGACTGAACATCCAACAAGTACCATATTTTAACGTCTTTTGGTATGATGCGGTCGGGAATCGAACCCACGACCTTCCGCTCTCCGGGAAGACGGACGCTCTAACCACTACACCACGGAGGCGGTCCCCTTGAATAAGAGGTAATGATGGCAATCCAGCGTCATCTGTTTGAGACCATCCCAGGCAAATGAGGAAAAGCCAACATAAGTACATAAGTGTAATTTTGATCTTAATAAATGAAAACCTTTGAAAATGAAAGAAAACATGCATGCATGGCACTGTATTGCAGTACATATTACAAGACAGACATAAAGATTGCAGTACATTGTTGTACAAAACCTAGTTAATTAACAGCCCTAATGTTCTCAATTGCAGAAGTGCCTCTCCCCTCAGACATTGTAGTAGAGGCCGACAGCTCCACCCTGTACATTACCTGGGGGATGCCACCAGGGTCACGTGACCCCCACCATGGGAGAGTCACAGGCTACACCTTGTTCTACTGCAATGGGTCCAAGATCACCTCCAAATGTGTGGTAAGAACATTTATAATGTGCCCCTTCCAAGATAAAGCTCATGTGTGACTGAGAAAGTTAAATCTTGGTGTCAGAACAACAAGGGAGAGTTCCAAAGTACAGTGCAGAGTGTCATCCTTTTAGTGCGGATGGGATGACCAGTCGATTTTGTGTGTTTGAGCGCAAGTTGCAGTTGTCATGCTGGAGACCAAACCATGGAGGCACTTGATTCCCCAATTCTGGCCACATGGTACTAGAGGGACCATTTCTGGTGTCCATCTTCATGATAGAACTGGAATATACTGATGGAAACAAATAAGGGAATGCATGAATGTATAGCTGTTCCTGTGTTCAGTTCCAGGTTTCTTTGCACAGCCTTATATTGTACTGTGGGTGAAATCTGGGAATAAATAAAGGAAAAATATCATGTGTTCCCTTATTTGTTTCCATCAGTATATATGGCATAAAACAATACTCACTCACTAATCCTATTTATCTTACCTGGTAAATTCCTTGTGATACTAATGTGATTGTCATAGGTATTTCAAATAACAGTTAATCTGGTCATATTTTGTTTTGAAAACAATTGACAAATGTATTTCCCGATCATTTAATTTGTTGTAGGTATTATGCAAGGATAAAATGAGTTGCAGAAAGTTTTACTGGATAAACCATTACTTATGTCAGGTGTAAAGAGCTCTCAAGAATCAACAGTACAAGCCATATTATATTAAGTAAACTCAAGCAAGTTTTCTCCAGTTATGTGTTTCTTTTCTAGGATGGTATTCATTGGCTGTCGTTTACCCCTGAGGTGCTGAGCTATGTATGGGAGGTTCCTGATGGTAACCTAGACAACAAGATGATTGGCGTGTCTGTAGAGAAGGAGATAGCCAATCAGAGAGTCAGCAGCGGTATTAAGTTGAACTCCTGCTTGTATGTCAAGAATCAGAGTAAGTATTTCTTGGAATATATATATAAAATATAAAATAAGTAACTACATGTAAATGATATAAAATATATCTACACTGTATGTAATGACAAGCAGCTTATGCTTCATTATTGTGAATGTGTTAATCAAACTGTCAAACATTGCCAACCAAACAATCAAACATCGTCAACCAAACAATCAAACATTGTCAACTGAACAATCAAACATTGTCAACTGAACAATCAAACATTGTCAACTGAACAATCAAACATTGTCAACCGAACAATCAAACATTGTCAACTGAACAATCAAACATTGTCAACCAAACAATCAAACATTGTCAACTGAACAGTCAAACATTGTCAACCAAACAATCAAACATTGTCAACCAAACAATCAAACATTGTCAATCAAACAATCAAACATTGTCAACCAAACAAACATTGTCAACTGAACAATCAAACATTGTCAACTGAACAATCAAACATTGTCAACTGAACAATCAAACATTGTCAATCAAACAATCAAACATTGTCAATCAAACAATCAAACATTGTCAACTGAACAATCAAACATTGTCAACTGAACACTCAGACAATGTCAACTGAACAAACATTGTTAACCTTGAATTTGCTTTACTGTTTGGCAGTGCCTAGCCATACCAGTCTTGAATCTGTTTACATTTTCCCTACATAACAGCAAAGAAACAAATGACACTGACACATAGTTCCTCGGTTTGCATTTGGTGGCAATAATAAGATGAGGTCAGATGTTTGGTAGTGAAACGGGCACTAGGATTGAACTTTCACAATGAATACAACTGTCCCTTTAGAGTAAAAGGACATGCATCCAAGTGACCAGTGACACAAACTTGGCAAATATTGATCATTTTTCCCATCTATGGATTTAAAGGACGGCACTCCACTAAGTGTGGTGCTCCAGTAACCATCAGTTTGTGCATATGATTAAAAGTAATGACAGCGTTGTTGATTAGCATTTTGTCATTAGATCAATAATTTAACTACAATTACAGTAAAGTAATTTTATTATCTTATTATTAGCATTATATCACCATTGTAACTTTTATATTCAGTTCAGTGGTGGTATGAATAATTTTCAAGGGCATGAAACAGACAGCATGCCATGTGAAGTTTTAGTTGGATTCCTGTAAATATTTCCAGTTCCTCTGCGTCCACAAAACCTCAACTTCTCCCGCCACCAGCCGGACAACGCCCTGAGTGTGGAGTGGCAGAAGTTTGGATGTGAGGAGGATTCAGCCTACATCACCCACTATGTTCTGTCGTACTGTCCCACCGACCAACACAGGGATTGTGAAGGTAGGGCTCTATTCAGGGATGTTGTAATCACCCACTATGTTCTGTCATACTGTCCCACCGACCAACACAGGGATTGTGAAGGTAGGACTCTATTCAGGGATGTTGTAATCACCCACTATGTTCTGTCGTACTGTCCCACCGACCAACACAGGGATTGTGAAGGTAGGACTCTATTCAGGGATGTTGTAATCACCCACTATGTTCTGTCGTACTGTCCCACCGACCGACACAGGGATTGTGAAGGTAGGGCTCTATTCAGGGATGTTGTAATCACCCACTATGTCCTGTCACAGGATTGTGAAGGTACGTCTCCATTCAGGGATGTTGTAATCACCCACTATGTCCTGTCGTACTGTCCCACCGACCGACACAGGGATTGTGAAGGTAGGGCTCTATTCAGGGATGTTGTAATCACCCACTATGTCCTGTCGTACTGTCCCACCGACCAACACAGGGATTGTGAAGGTAGGGCTCTATTCAGGGATGTTGTAATCACCCACTATGTTCTGTCGTACTGTCCCACCGACCAACACAGGGATTGTGAAGGTAGGACTCTATTCAGGGATGTTGTAATCACCCACTATGTCCTGTCGTACTGTCCCACCGACCAACACAGGGATTGTGAAGGTAGGGCTCTATTCAGGGATGTTGTAATCACCCACTATGTCCTGTCGTACTGTCCCACCGACCAACACAGGGATTGTGAAGGTAGGGCTCTATTCAGGGATGTTGTAATCACCCACTATGTCCTGTCGTACTGTCCCACCGACCAACACAGGGATTGTGAAGGTAGGGCTCTATTCAGGGATGTTGTAATCACCCACTATGTCCTGTCGTACTGTCCCACCGACCAACACAGGGATTGTGAAGGTAGGGCTCTATTCAGGGATGTTGTAATCACCCACTATGTCCTGTCGTACTGTCCCACCGACCAACACACAGGGATTGTGAAGGTAGGGCTCTATTCAGGGATGTTGTAATCACCCACTATGTCCTGTCGTACTGTCCCACCGACCAACACAGGGATTGTGAAGGTAGGGCTCTATTCAGGGATGTTGTAATCACCCACTATGTCCTGTCGTACTGTCCCACCGACCAACACAGGGATTGTGAAGGTAGGACTCCATTCAGGGATGTTGTAATCACCCACTATGTCCTGTCGTACTGTCCCACCGACCGACACAGGGATTGTGAAGGTAGGGCTCCATTCAGGGATGTTGTAATCACCCACTATGTCCTGTCGTACTGTCCCACCGACCGACACAGGGATTGTGAAGGTAGGGCTCCATTCAGGGATGTTGTAATCACCCACTATGTCCTGTCGTACTGTCCCACCGACAGACACAGGGATTGTGAAGGTAGGGCTCCATTCAGGGATGTTGTAATCACCCACTATGTCCTGTCGTACTGTCGACGTCCCACCGACCAACACAGGGATTGTGAAGGTAGGACTCCATTCAGGGATGTTGTAATCACCCACAATGTCCTATCGTACTGTCCCACCGACAGACACAGGGATTGTTAACGTAGGACTCCATTCAGGGATGTTGTAATCACCCACTATGTCCTGTCGTACTGTCCCACCGACCGACACAGGGATTGTGAAGGTAGGGCTCTATTCAGGGATGTTGTAATCACCCACTATGTCCTGTCGTACTGTCCCACCGACCGACACAGGGATTGTGAAGGTAGGGCTCCATTCAGGGATGTTGTAATAACCCACTATGTCCTGTCGTACTGTCCCACCGACGACACACACAGGGATTGTGAAGGTAGGGCTCCACTCAGGGATGTTGTAATCACCCACTATGTCCTGTGTCTGTCGACGTCCCACTGTCGACACAGGGATCCCATTCAGGGATGTTGTAATCACAGGGATTGTGAAGGTGAAGGTAGGACTCCATTCAGGGATGTTGTAATCACCCACTATGTCCTGTCGTGACTGTCCCAACGACCAACACAGGGATTGTGAAGGTAGGACTCCATTCAGGGATGTTGTAATCACCCACTATGTCCTGTCGTACTGTCCCACCGACCAACACAGGGATTGTGAAGGTAGGACTCCATTCAGGGATGTTGTAATCACCCACTATGTCCTGTCGTACTGTCCCACCGACCAACACTGGGATTGTGAAGGTAGGGCTCCATTCAGGGATGTTGTAATCACCCACTATGTCCTGTCGTACTGTCGACGTCCCACCGACCGACACAGGGATTGTGAAGGTAGGGCTCTATTCAGGGATGTTGTAATCATCCACTATGTCCTGTCTTACTGTCCAACCGACCGACACAGGGATCGTGAAGGTAGGGCTCTATTCAGGGATGTAATCACCCACTATGTCCTGTCGTACTGTCCCACCGACCGACACAGGGATTGTGAAGGTAGGGCTCTATTCAGGGATGTTGTAATCACCCACTATGTCCTGTCGTACTGTCCCACCGACCAACACAGGGATTGTGAAGGTAGGGCTCTATTCAGGGATGTTGTAATCACCCACTATGTCCTGTCGTACTGTCCCACCGACCGACACAGGGACTCCATTCAGGTCTTGTCATACTGTCCCACCGACCAACACAGGGATTGTGAAGGTAGGACTCTATTCAGGGATGTTGTAATCACCCACTATGTCCTGTCGTACTGTCCCACCGACCAACACAGGGATTGTGAAGGTAGGGCTCTATTCAAGGATGTTGTAATCACCCACTATATCCTGTCGTACTGTCCCACCGACCAACACAGGGATTGTGAAGGTAGGGCTCCATTCAGGGATGTTGTAGTTTGTCACTGATGGCAGTACTGGTTGCTGCTAATCTGATGAAACAAATTTCCACATGCAGAGACCTTGTTACATAGAGTTGGTACATGTTACCTCATTGAAATCTGTTTCATGCTCTGTAGAATAGACCCATCCTTGCTCCGGTGCCATTCATTGGCAAGTTAGATTTATGTGATTTGTGTACAGACCAAGGCATAGATTTTCGAAGCTCTCTTAGCGCTAAGATAGTCGAAAGTCCCATACATTAACATTAACTTACGACTATCATAGCGCTAAGAGAGCTTCGAAAATCTAGGCGCAGTACATTTGTGAAAGTGAATGTGTTTGACATAATGGTACATTTTATAGGGTACATTTCTACGTTCTGTTTACCTCTAGGGACATCTGTAAAGGTGTGTGTTGGATTTTGTTCTTGGTTAGGGTTTCAGTTTCCAGAATGGAACAAAGATCTTCACTTCAGCCTCTCTCACTTTGATACCTGTCAGTATTTTGTGGACATAACTCATCACTTATGGTTACTATATCTTTTATAAGATTTTTTCCATGTTCAGGTCAGTCAGTGCAGGTCAATGTGTCTAACACCGAGGGAGAGCCACGTGATCCAGGGTCTGTCAGCTGGAGTGAAGTACAGGGTGACTCTCCGGGCGGTGTCAGGACAGGGGACGGGCCAGACAGTGACCCCATCATCAAACTTGTTGTAAACAGTGGTAAGGAATATCTTATTACAAAAGTGTTTGTAAACAGTGATAAGGAATATCTTATTACAAGATGTTGTAAACAGTGGTAAGGAATATCTCATTACAAAGTTATAAACAGTGGAAAGGAATATCTCATTACAAAGTTTTAAACAGTAGTAAAGGAATATCTCATTACAAAGTTATAAACAGTGTGTAGGAAGATCTCATTACAAAGTTTTAAACAGTGGTAAGGAATATCTCATTACAAAGTTGAGAACAGTGGTAAGGAATATCTCATGACATTAACTCATCTGTGTGTGGGGTCCAGGGAGTGACCCGATCACCACAGTTGTAGATAGTGCTAAAGAATATTTCATTTATTTACATCATTGTAAACAGTGGTAAGGTATTTCTCATAATAATCTCAGCATTAATATGATATATTCCTCACCACCAACACAAGTAGTTTGCGTAATGCATGACATCCTCCCTATTTTGTTACATGCCAAAACTGATGAATATACACTCCTGGATGTTCTCTTGTCTTTTACAGATTTAACGCCAGGAGCAATTGCGGGCATATCTTTCGGTGGAATATTCGGGTGCATTGTCATACTCTCTTTCATGATCTGCTGCATAAAGTAAGTTTTGACATTAGCATAAAGTGTGACTCGACCTCGCGGTTTCACTCACAGAATTATTCCTCATAATTATGTCACTGATGCCTCAAACCTGCAGTCAAGTCAAACATGTAGAGACATCAATAATATTAATGTTGTTTGTATTTAAATCATTAACACAGAAACACTGTAGACCACAACAGGAAATCAGTGACATTGTTCAGTGCAGTAATGCAACACCAGCCACGCCCATTTAATTATCAGCCAATCAGGGAACAATAGTCTACTAGGAGGAGTGGCTTAGATCATTTTCACTTACGGAGTCATAACAGGAAACGTGCTTATATGGCCAATCAAATGCAACAAGTCACTTGCAGTATATATTTTGCTCTCTCTGCTAGGCAGGTTTGTTTGCCTTGCCTTGTTGCACAAGGCAATCTTGGCACTGTGATGCTCATAACTCCTATACATAAGGTGAGGTGAAATTGGGCTTAACGTCGTGCTTGAGAATATTTCGCTCATATGACGACGTGCATGCGTGTGTGTGTGTATGTGCGGCTGCTTGTACTAGCCCAGACTTAAGCTGGTTTTATAGTGCTAGTCCACTGAGATACCATGTCGCAGTTAAGCATGAATACCCCCCTCAGAAACATTATACTGACTCCGAGCCGACCAGTCCTTGTTGTACCCATTAATGCCGAGCGCCTGAGGCAGGGACCAACAAGTACCATATTTTAACGTCTTTTGGTATGACGCGGTCGGGGATCAAACCCGCGACCTTCAGCTCTCCTGGCGGACGCTCTAACCACTACAGCACGGAGGCGGTCCTCCTATGCATAAACATATACCAGTAAGGGGCTACATGCATTCACTCTTCGGAGCAGGGTCCAGATTCAACAGTTTGTATTATATATCAGTCAGAACAATGCCAAACTGTTGCTATATAACAGTCAGAACAATGCCAGATTACTACATGATCTGTATATCTGTATCTCAGATGTCCCTTTATCTTACAACATTTTTTTTTCAAAATGTATCCACAGAGCAAAAGCAACTTAGATATGTTTAGATATGTTTAGATATGTTTTGAAACAGAAAATTGCAATACATATTGCAATAAAAGCAGTGCAACTGGAATTTGGCTGGTGCAACTAGGTTTTTGTCTTAGGCTGCACCTGGTGGAAATAGGCTAACATCTCTTAAATAGAGCCCTGTGATTATGTCTTTTGACATAGATTCATCAACACATTTATGTTTACGTCAAGCACTCACTGAATCTGTGTCAACCAGACTACTATTGGCAGACTTGAACTTGAAGTGAGCTCCAGGGTACTTCCACCTCTTACAATATGAAATATGTCGCTGTTGTAAAGCTGTTGTGAAACATCCATGATTACAGCATCGACTTCATATATGACCATGGCACATTTATCATTACTGATCCTTTTGGACCCGTGAAGATCCGGGTTAGAACTGGTCTTTAGCAACCCATGCTTGCCATAAGAGGCGACTAACAGGATAGGGTGGTCAGGCTCGCTGGCTTGGTTGACACATCATCATCGTATCCCAGTTGTGTAGATCGATGCTCATGCTGTTGATCACTGGATGATCTGGTCCAGACTCCATTATTGACAAACCGCCGCAATATAGCTGTAATATTTCTGAGTGTGGCATGAAACACAAACCAAGCAACCAACCATCATATATCGCCATGGCACACGTATTATTACTGACCCTTATAATATTGTCTTTCCAGGAGAGTACGTCGGACCTATAGAAACATGCCTATGGATATAAAACTGCTGGAACTTGTGAAGGTAAGATATCTACACTGGTAAGCACATCTTTAACTGAACTGAGTGCATGATAATTATTTGATATTCAGCTGTGTAACAATTGATTTTGAAATAAGAGATATTTTGTTAAATAAATAATTGCTGGAATTGTTGGATGATCTAAGACATTCACAGAAATATTTAGCTTCAGTACAAACAAATAACTCATTGAAAAAAATATCTTTTGAAACAAATAACCAGCAGAATATTAATGGGATGATATCTCTGAAGTACTTTCAGTAAAGTAAGTTGAGCAGGATTGTGATACACAATAGTGTCCGGGAATCTAAAGGGTTACGCTGTAGGAAGTATCAGTGATAAACACAATGTTCGAGTTCTGAGTAAACAAGGACAGTGTCCATAAGAGAGAGCTGATATCGCTAAGACTTGATAAATACTGGAAATATGGTTACAAGTGCCCTAAAACATTTGAAAAAGCAAGGTCTGACCACTTTCTAGATGGTATTATGTTTTCAAAGCAAGGTTTGACAACTGCATTTTATGGTCATGTGCCATTTTGGTCATATACCCCAATTTCATGTCAGAAAACCCCAGGTTATGTATTATCACAATTTAAATATTATATTAAATTAAATCAGAACTGAAAGTTAGAAATGAAATGAAATGAAATCTCTGAGGATACTGATTCCTATGTATCAAGTGTAGAAACCGGATAAATTAAAATATTGACATATTTTCACTGGAATATTATTTAACTGTCATCCCACAATGCCCTTTCTGTTGTGCTTGGTTGCTAGTACAAGGTTGTTGTGCTTGATAGCTAGTACAAGGTTGTGTTGTGCTTGATTGCTAGTACAAGGTTGTGTTGTGCTTGATTGCTAGTACAAGGTTGTGTTGTGCTTGATTGCTAGTACAAGGTTGTGTTGTGCTTGATTGCTAGTACAAGGTTGTGTTGTGCTTGATAGCTAGTACAAGGTTGTGTTGTGCTTGATTGCTAGTACAAGGTTGTGTTGTGCTTGATTGCTAGTACAAGGTTGTGTTGTGCTTGATTGCTAGTACAAGGTTGTGTTGTGCTTGGCTTGCTAGTACAAGGTTGTGTTGTGCTTGGCTGCTAGTACAAGGTTGTGTTGTGCTTGATTGCTAGTACAAGGTTGTGTTGTGCTTGATAGCTAGTACAAGGTTGTGTTGTGCTTGATTGCTAGTACAAGGTTGTGTTGTGCTTGATAGCTAGTACAAGGTTGTGTTGTGCTTGATTGCTAGTACAAGGTTGTGTTGTGCTTGATTGCTAGTACAAGGTTGTGTTGTGCTTGATAGCTAGTACAAGGTTGTGTTGTGCTTGATAGCTAGTACAAGGTTGTGTTGTGCTTGGTTGCTAGTACAAGGTTGTGTTGTGCTTGATTGCTAGTACAAGGTTGTGTTGTGCTTGATTGCTAGTACAAGGTTGTGTTGTGCTTGGTTGCTAGTACAAGGTTGTGTTATTCTTGGTTGCTAGTACAAGGTTGTGTTGTGCTTGATTGCTAGTACAAGGTTGTGTTGTGCTTGATAGCTAGTACAAGGTTGTGTTGTGCTTGATTGCTAGTACAAGGTTGTGTTGTTCTTGATTGCTAGTACAAGGTTGTGTTGTGCTTGATTGCTAGTACAGAGTTGTGTTGTGCTTGGTTGCTAGTACAAGGTTGTGTTGCACTTAATAGCTAGTACAAGGTTGTGTTGTGCTTGGTTGCTAGTACAAGGTTGTGTTGTGCTTGATTGCTAGTACAAGGTTGTGTTGTGCTTGATTGCTAGTACAAGGTTGTGTTGTGTTTCTTTGCTTGTACAAGGTTGTGTTGTGCTTGGTTGCTAGTACAAGGTTGTGTTGCACTTGATAGCTAGTACAAGGTTGTGTTGTGCTTGGTTGCTAGTACAAGGTTGTGTTGTGCTTGATTGCTAGTACAAGGTTGTGTTGTGCTTGATTGCTAGTACAAGGTTGTGTTGTGTTTCGTTGCTAGTACAAGGTTGTGTTGTGCTTGGTTGCTAGTACAAGGTTGTGTTGCACTTGATAGCTAGTACAAGGTTGTGTTGTGCTTGGTTGCTAGTACAAGGTTGTGTTGTGCTTGGTTGCTAGTACAAGGTTGTGTTGTGCTTGATTGCTAGTACAAGGTTGTGTTGTGCTTGGTTGCTAGTACAAGGTTGTGTTGCACTTGATAGCTAGTACAAGGTTGTGTTGTGCTTGATTACTAGTACAAGGTTGTGTTGTGCTTGGCAGCTAGTACAAGGTTGTGTTGTGCTTGATTGCTAGTACAAGGTTGTGTTGTGCTTGATTGCTAGTATAAGGTTGTGGTGTGCTTGGTTGCTAGTACAAGGTTGTGTTGCACTTGATAGCTAGTACAAGGTTGTGTTGTGCTTGATTGCTAGTGCAAGGTTGTGTTGTGCTTGATTGCTAGTACAAGGTTGTGTTGTGCTTGATTGCTAGTACAAGGTTGTGTTGTGCTTGATTGCTAGTACAAGGTTGTGTTGTGCTTGATTGCTAGTACAAGGTTGTGTTGTGCTTGATAGCTAGTACAAGGTTGTGTTGTGCTTGATTGCTAGTACAAGGTTGTGTTGTGTTTGGTTGCTAGTACAAGGTTGTGTTGTGCTTGGTTGCTAGTACAAAGGTTGTGTTGTGCTTGATAGCTAGTACAAGGTTGTCTTGTGCTTGATAGCTAGTACAAGGTTGTGTTGTGCTTGATAGCTAGTACAAGGTTGTGTTGTGCTTGATAGCTAGTACAAGGTTGTGTTGTGCTTGATAGCTAGTACAAGGTTGTGTTGTGCTTGATTGCTAGTACAAGGTTGTGTTGTGTTTGGTTGCTAGTACAAGGTTGTGTTGTACTTGGTTGCTAGTACAAGGTTGTGTTGTGCTTGATTGCTAGTACAAGGTTGTGTTGTGCTTGATTGCTAGTACAAGGTTGTGTTGTGCTTGGTTGCTAATACAAGGTTGTGTTATTCTTGGTTGCTAGTACAAGGTTGTGTTGCAGTTGATAGCTAGTACAAGGTTGTGTTGTGCTTGATTGCTAGTACAAGGTTGTGTTGTGCTTGATAGCTAGTACAAGGTTGTGTTGTGCTTGGTTGCTAGTACAAGGTTGTGTTGTGCTTGGTTGCTAGTACAAGGTTGTGTTGTGCTTGATTGCTAGTACAAGGTTGTGTTGTGCTTGATAGCTAGTACAAGGTTGTGTTGTGCTTGATAGCTAGTACAAGGTTGTGTTGCACTTGATAGCTAGTACAAGGTTGTGTTGTGCTTGATAGCTAGTACAAGGTTGTGTTGTGCTTGATTGCTAGTACAAGGTTGTGTTGTGTTTCGTTGCTAGTACAAGGTTGTGTTGTGCTTGGTTGCTAGTAAAAGGTTGTGTTGTGCTTGATAGCTAGTACAAGGTTGTGTTGTGCTTGATAGCTAGTACAAGGTTGTGTTGTGCGGATAGCTAGTACAAGGTTGTGTTGTGCTTGATTGCTAGTACAAAGGTTGTGTTGTGCTTGATAGCTAGTAACAAGGTTGTGTTGTGCTTGATAGCTAGTACAAGGTTGTGTTGTGCTTGGTTGCTAGTACAAGGTTGTGTTGTACTTGATTGCTAGTACAAGGTTGTGTTGTGCTTGATTGCTAAAGAACAAAGGTTGTGTTAATAGCCATTGCTAAGTACAAGGTTGTGTTGTGCTTGATTGCTAGTACAAGGTTGTGTTGTGCTTGATTGCTAGTACAAGGTTGTGTTGTGCTTGGTTGCTAGTACAAGGTTGTGTTATTCTTGATTGCTAGTACAAGGTTGTGTTGTGCTTGATTGCTAGTACAAGGTTGTGTTGTGCTTGATAGCTAGTACAAAGGTTGTGTTGTGCTTGATTGCTAGTACAAAGGTTGTGTTGTGCTTGATTGCTAGAACAAAGGTTGTGTTGTTCCAGCTTGATTGCTAGTACACAAAGGTTGTGTTGTGCTTGATTGCTAGTACAAGGTTGTGTTGTGCTTGATTGCTAGTACAAGGTTGTGTTGTGCTTGATTAGCTAGTACAAGGTTGTGTTGTGCTTGATTGCTAGTACAAGGTTGTGTTGTGCTTGATTGCTAGTACAAAGGTTGTGTTGTGCATTGATGCTAGTACAAGGTTGTGCTTGGTTGCTAGTACAAGGTTGTGTTATTCTTGGTTGCTAGTACAAGGTTGTGTTGTGCTTGATTGCTAGTACATGGTTGTGTTACGCTTGATAGCTAGTACAAGGTTGTGTTGTGCTTGATTGCTAGTACAAGGTTGTGTTGTTCTTGATTGCTAGTACAAGGTTGTGTTGTGCTTGATTGCTAGTACAAGGTTGTGTTGTGCTTGATTGCTAGTATAATGTTGTGTTGTGCTTGATTGCTAGTACAAGGTTGTGTTGTGCTTGATAGCTAGTACAAGGTTGTGTTGTTCTTGATTGCTAGTACAAGGTTGTGTTGTGCTTGATAGCTAGTACAAAGGTTGTGTTGTTGCTAGTGCAAGTTGTGTTGTGTTGGTTGCTAGTACAAGGTTGTGTTGCACTTAATAGCTAGTACAAGGTTGTGTTGTGCTTGATTGCTGAGTACAAGGTTGTGTTGTGCTTGATTGCTAGTACAAGGTTGTGTTGTGCTTGATTGCTAGTACAAGGTTGTGTTGTGTTGTGGTTGATTGCTAGTACAAGGTTGTGTTATGCTGGTTTGATAGCTAGTACAAAGGTTGTGTTGTGCTTGATTGCTAGTACAAAGGTTGTGTTGTGCTTGATAGCTAGTACAAGGGTTGTGTTGTGCTTGATTACTAGTACAAGGTTGTGTTGTGCTTGGCTGCTAGTACAAAGGTTGTGTTGTGCTTGATTGCTAGTACAAGGTTGTGTTGTGCTTGATTGCTAGTATAAGGTTGTGGTGTGCTTGGTTGCTAGTACAAGGTTGTGTTGCACTTGATAGCTAGTACAAGGTTGTGTTGTGCTTGATTGCTAGTACAAATTGTTGTTGTGCTTGATTGCTAGTACAAGGTTGTGTTGTGCTTGATTGCTAGTACAAGGTTGTGTTGTGCTTGATTGCTAGTACAAGAGTTGTGTTGTGCTTGATTGCTAGTACAAGGTTGTGTTGTGCTTGATTGCTAGTACAAGGTTGTGTTGTGCTTGTACAAAGGTTGTGTTGTTCTTGGTTGCTAGTACAAGGTTGTGTTGTGCTTGATAGCTAGTACAAGGTTGTGTTGTGCTTGATAGCTAGTACAAGGTTGTGTTGTGCTTGATAGCTAGTACAAGGTTGTGTTGTGCTTGGCTGCTAGTACAAGGTTGTGTTGTGCTTGATAGCTAGTACAAGGTTGTGTTGTGCTTGATTGCTAGTACAAGGTTGTGTTGTGCTTGATTGCTAGTACAAGGTTGTGTTGTGCTTGATAGCTAGTACAAGGTTGTGTTGTGCTTGATTGCTAGTACAAGGTTGTGTTGTGCTTGATTGCTAGTACAAGGTTGTGTTGTGCTTGATTGCTAGTACAAGGTTGTGTTGTGCTTGATTGCTAGTACAAGGTTGTGTTGTTGTGCTTGATTGCTAGTACAAGGTTGTGTTGTGCTTGATTGCTAGTACAAGGTTGTGTTGTGCTTGATTGCTAGTACAGAGTTGTGTTGTGCTTGGTTGCTAGTACAAGGTTGTGTTGCATTGATTGCTAGTACAAAGGTTGTGTTGTGCTTGGTTGCTAGTACAAGGTTGTGTTGTGCTTGATTGCTAGTACAAGGTTGTGTTGTGCTTGATTGCTAGTACAAAGGTTGTGTTGTGCTTGGTTTGCTAGTACAAGGTTGTGTTGTTCTTGGTAGCTAGTACAAGGTTGTGTTGCACTTGATAGCTAGTACAAGGTTGTGTTGTGCTAGATTGCATTGCTAGTACAAAGGTTGTGTTGTGCTTGATTGCTAGTACAAGGTTGTGTTGTGTTTAGGACTTGCTAGTACAAGGTTGTGTTGTGCTTGGTTGCTAGTACAAGGTTGTGTTGTGCTTGATTGCTAGTACAAAGGGTTGTGTTGTGCTTGATAGCTAGTACAAGGTTGTGTTGTGCTTGATTGCTAGTACAAGGTTGTGTTGTGCTTGATAGCTAGTACAAGGTTGTGTTGTGCTTGATAGCTAGTAGAAAAGGTTGTGTTGTGCTTGATTAGCTAGTACAAAGGTTGTGTTGTGCTTTTGATTGCTAGTACAAGGTTGTGTTGTGCTTGATTGCTGAGTACAAAGGTTGTGTTGTGCTTGGTAGCTAGTACAAGGTTGTGTTGTGCTTGATAGCTAGTACAAGGTTGTGTTGTGCTTGATAGCTAGTACAAGGTTGTGTTGTGCTTGATAGCTAGTACAAGGTTGTGTTGTGCTTGATAGCTAGTACAAGGTTGTGTTGTGCTTGATAGCTAGAACAAGGTTGTGTTGTGCTTGATAGCTAGTACAAGGTTGTGTTGTGCTTGATTGCTAGTACAAGGTTGTGTTATGCTTGATTGCTAGTACAAGGTTGTGTTGTGTAGGTTGTGTTGTGCTTGATTGCTAGAACAAGGTTGTGTTGTGCTTGATTGCTAGTACAAGGTTGTGTTGTGCTTGATAGCTAGTACAAAGGTTGTCTTGTGCTTGATAGCTAGTACAAGGTTGTGTTGTGTAAAGGCTTGATAGCTAGTACAAGGTTGTGTTGTGTACTTGATAGCTAGTACAAGGTTGTGTTGTGCTTGGATAGCTAGTACGAGGTTGTGTTGTGCTTGGTTGCTAGTACAAGGTTGTGTTATGCTTGATTGCTAGTACAAGGTTGTGTTGTGCTTGATTGCTAGTACAAAGGTTGTGTTGTGCTTGCATTGCTAGTACAAGGTTGTGTTATTTGTGCTTGGTTGCTAGTACAAGGTTGTGTTGTGCTTGATTGCTAGTACAAGGTTGTGTTGTGCTAGTAGTACAAGGTTGTGTTGTGCTTGATTGCTAGTACAAGGTTGTGTTTGTGCTTGATTGCTTGATTTTATGCTAGTACAACAAGGTTGTGTTGATTGCTAGTACAAGGTTGTGTTGTGCTTGATTGCTAGTACAAGGTTGTGTTGTGCTTGGTTGCTAGTACAAGGTTGTGTTGTACTTGATTGCTAGTACAAGGTTGTGTTGTGCTTGATTGCTAGTACAAGGTTGTGTTGTGCTTGATTGCTAGTACAAGGTTGTGTTGTGCTTGATTGCTAGTACAAGGTTGTGTTGTGCTTGATAGCTAGTACAAGGTTGTGTTATGCTTGATAGCTAGTACAAGGTTGTGTTGTGCTTGATTGCTAGTACAAGGTTGTGTTGTGCTTGATAAGCTAGTACAAGGTTGTGTTGTGCTTTTGATTGCTAGTACAAAGGTTGTGTTGTGCTTGATTGCTAGTACAAGGTTGTGTTGTGCTTGATTGCTAGTACAAGGTTGTGTTGTGCTTGGATTGCTAGTACAAGGTTGTGTTGTGCTTGATAGCTAGTACAAGGTTGTGTTGTGCTTGATAGCTAGTACAAGGTTGTGTTGTGCTTGATAGCTAGTACAAGGTTGTGTTGTGCTTGATTGCTAGTACAAGGTTGTGTTGTTGCTTGATTGCTAGTACAAGGTTGTGTTGTGCTTGATTGCTAGTACAAGGTTGTGTTGTGCTTGATTGCTAGTACAAGGTTGTGTTGTGCTTGATTGCTAGTACAAGGTTGTGTTGTGCTTGATTGCTAGTACAAGGTTGTGTTGTGCTTGGTTGCTAGTACAAGGTTGTGTTGTGCTTGGATTGCTAGTACAAGGTTGTGTTGTGCTTGGCTGCTAGTACAAGGTTGTGTTGTGCTTGATTGCTAGTACAAGGTTGTGTTGTGCTTGATTGCTAGTACAAGGTTGTGTTGTGCTTGGCTTACAAGGTTGTGTTGTGCTGCTTGTACTAGTACAAGGTTGTGTTGTGCTTGATTGCTAGTACAAGGTTGTGTTGTGTGCTTGGTTGTGTTGTGCTTGGATTGCTAGTACAAGGTTGTGTTGTGCTTGATAGCTAGTACAAGGTTGTGTTGTGCTTGATTGCTAGTACAAGGTTGTGTTGTGCTTGATTGCTAGTACAAGGTTGTGTTGTGCTTGATTGCTAGTACAAGGTTGTGTTGTGTACATAGCTTGTACAAGGTGTGCTTGCTAGTACAAGGTTGCTAGTACAAGGTTGTGTTGTGCTTGATTGCTAGTACAAGGTTGTGTTGTGCTTGATTGCTAGTACAAGGTTGTGTTGTGCTTGATAGCTAGTACAAGGTTGTGTTGTGCTTGATTGCTAGTACAAGGTTGTGTTGTGCTTGATAGCTAGTACAAGGTTGTGTTGGGTTGTGTTACAAGCTTGATAGCTAGCACAAGGTTGTGTTGTGCTTGATAGCTAGTACAAGATTGTGTTGTGCTTGATTAGTAGCACAAGGTTGTGTTGTGCTTGGTTGCTAGTGTAAGGTTGTGTGGTGCTTGGCTGCTAGTACAAAGTTTTGTTGTACTTGATTGCTAGTACAAGGTTGTGTTGTGCTTGATTGCTAGTGTAAGGTTGTGATGTAATAAGTGTTTATTTGGTATTTTCTTTGGATGAAAACTATGACCCTCTTTATTGCAGGTTGATGAAGACACACAGGTTCATGATAAGGAAAACAATAATGTGAAGAAGGAAACACCAACATCCAACAAGAAGAATAAGACCGATACCAGCAGAAACATAGAGATCCTAGATTGAGATCCCAGATCAGACCTTAAATCAGAGGACATGGCTGTAAAAACAGTAAATGACCTCAAAACAATTCAACAGGATCTGAAGCATGTGGACATCCCATGTTCAGGTGAGTCAACTGAGTCAGAGTGTGACAAGACTGGGACATCCCATTCTGATTCAACTGATCCGTCATCCATCCAAGTGGACAGCTATCTGAAACGTGATCTGTCAGGCAACTCCAACTCCACAAACAGGATGCTGGCAGTGATTACGTTACGAGGGACAAACTGTCACTGCTGCTTGGAAAGTCATCTTCTGATGCTTCATTTAACAAGGCGTCCCATTCTTCAGGGCAGGACTCAGCATCAAGCCCCCCTCCTCCATATGAACCACCTCAATCTCCTGATGACCAGAAGTTGGAGACACCACCGCCAACTTACAGCTCCTATGTCTCATCCCAGACAGATTTCCCATCAGCTCCCCAGGAGAGGCAGATGTCTTCTTGCCCTGTGGGTGATGTCGGCTCGTCCACCAACTCACATCCCCTCTCGGTGCTGCTGGAGCAACAGCCACCCCCCTTCCTCTCCTTGTGGTGATGCCTTCTACAACCAATCTCAGTCTCATGAAGAGTCTACAGATCTCCAAGACCACACAACCCCCAAACCTCAAAGTCATTCTACTGACAGTCCATACATTCCTTTCGACAAAATTCAACCTCCTCAACCACCTAAACCACCTCAACCAACTCAACCACCTGAAGAGCAGAAGACAGTTTTGCCTCCTGCTGATGGGTATGTATCTGTGTCAGAGGCCTCACAGATGATAAAAAAGGATGGATTAGAAAAACCAAAAGTTTTTTGTCCAACAGTAGAATCAGGAAACTATTGTAAAATAGGTATAAACGGCAGTTTGGGGCAACTCGCCAACAGTGACTATATTTCCAAGGCTGACCTGGTGGGTGAGACTGGTCCATCCAGTACTTCCCGTACACTACACAACCAGGCCACCACTACCTTGTAGGTGCTGTTCACATTAAATCCCATTTGTAGCAGCAGAGTGTTACCAGACAGTTATGACCAATAGGGCTTTAGCTATTGACAACCTGACTTTCTATTTGGGAAATATGATTGAGCCTATTCCACTCAAGGATTATGCATGAACATGCACAAAGCAAATCAACATAATTATTGTCATTGCAACAGATTAACCCTTTTATTTTGACAGACATCTGCATTCATTCAATCATTATGATAGACACCTAAATTAATTCAATCACCTTGACAGACACCTGAATTCATTCAGTCATCTTGACAGACACCTGAATTAATTCAATCATCTTGACAGACACCTGAATTCATTCAATCACCTGGACAGACACCTGAATTCATTCAATCATTTTGATAGACACCTGAATTCATTCAATCATCTTGACAGACACCTGAATTCTTTCAATCACCTGGACAGACACCTGAATTCATTCAATCATTTTGATAGACACCTAAATTCATTCAATCATCTTGACAGACATCTGAATTAATTCAGTCACCTGGACAGACACCTGAATTAATTCAATCATTTTGATTGACACCTGCATTCTTTCAATCACCTGGACAGACACCTGAATTCATTCCAGGTCTGCTACCAGATTATATGGTGCCAGTGTTAGTGTGACTTAGAAGACCTGGAGGCGTGATGGATAGCGTTTCCCTAAGAGAGTAAATATGCAACCCTCTGGATTAAAGGGATTTTACTGTATGTTTCTGAATTGTATGCCTTGCTCATGAAGGCATATCTGTGTTCATCTGATTGTGTGTTCTGAGGACAAGACAGAACAAGCTTGATATGACATGGATGGGAGCTGTAGGGCTGCCAGGTGGTTATGACATTCACTTATCACACCGGACGGCTCTATACCCCACATGGGTTAAGTAGGTCTAGATACACATCCACTGTGAGTTGCACCATTTGGACAAGGAAGTGTGGGTTTGAATCCCAGTACACCTTGATTATGTTTGTAGGTTTGCCAGCACCAAACCTGTGCTCGTTAGTTTCACCCAAGTGACGTGAGCCCAGAATCACCACTTGCACCCTCCCATGTTATACTAACTCGCCAGGATATGCCTGAAATGCTGTTCAAAGCTGCATCAAATATAACAACAAAACCCATTGCACATCCATAAGAAATATCTGCTTAAAGCAGAGTAGACTGTACGATTCCGATTTTTTTACGAGCATTTGAGAAAATAATGAATTTCCTTGACATAGATTAAGAAAACAAAATGTTGGTAGAGTGCTAACAGTTTATACATATCACAGTGAAGCTTATGTATGTTTTCTTTACTCTGTATATATTTCATTACATGTTTTACATCATTTCAATGGGTCAAGGACAAGTAAATAATGTATTGAAAGAAACAAGTAAAGGAACACAAGAACATTCAAGTGTTACTTTAATGTTTTCCTGTTTTCATAACCAACTTTGAATAGCGCTGTGGGAGTAAATCTGAGAATAAATATAGGAATACTGACATGAAGTGATGTTCCCTTATTTGTTTCCCTCAGTACTAGTATACTAGTATTATATTTTTTTAAATGAGTGAAAATGAAGGTTAATACAAAACTACAACATAAAGGATAATAAAGTAATATACTGTTGTCAGTAAACAAATCATGTTTACTTTCTTTCTCTCTGGTATTGACCCATCTGTGTAAATAATGATGCTTCTATGATTTTCTTTTGATATATTTTATCCCCCGCAACGCTTTCTATGGGGTATTGATCTGGTGGTGTACTGGTGCCTTTTGGTAGTTTTGTATTTCTGAATAAAATATTTTTGGCATTTCCATGGCAACAAGTTGTGAAATTGGTGATAGTGCTCCTTTCTGGAGCAGAACTTAAAAAAACTTTCAGTACTCTCCTTCCACTTTTCTATATACACACCTAAATATTTGACATAATCATAACTCGTAGACATAATCATTAAGAGTATTTTGCCATTGTGGGGATATTGATGACTTTGTCTTCTTGTTTGTTTTTGCATCTACATCTTTCAGTTTGTTTTATTAATTGAGGATGCTCTCACTAATACTTTTTCCACATGATATTAGTGTAAATGTATTTATGAATTTTTGTGATAACACTGAAGAATAAAACATTAGTGAAATGTTTGGGTTAATATTTATCGTCACAATGTTAGTCATGAAGTTGCCAACAGAAGGTTGAACGAGGATAGCAGATGTGTGGGACTGGTAAAACTCAATTTCATCACAACAATCAGGGAATCAACTTTATTTTTTCACAAATAAATTGTTTTGATATGTGTACTCATATTTTGTGATGAAAGTAATACAGGTGAATATACAATCAAATATGTACATATATACACCCGTGCATTAATTGAGCAGGGTATAGCCATCAATTTAATCAACCTGTAGTTAAAGAAGCTTTATCCACAGACAGTTTTACAAATACCATAACCTTTTCTATTCTTTATGAAGAATATGTTGATGATAATGTGATGGGACTGAATTTTTACCCCAAAAAACTATTCCTCTCCTGCTCAAACTACACAATTAAATGAAGTTTTCACCAAAACTAACAATTCTGTTATATACCATGATGACATTTACACATCAAGTAAGCTTTAAATAATCAGGAAGAACCCAAATGTCAAAGATGCAGACCTTTTTTCCAACAATTCAGGTTTCTAATTGACAAAAACTGAAAAAAAGGCCACATTAATAAGATTTTGGAATAATCTTTTTATGAGTTTGAGTTTATTGTAATGAATAAACACTTCTCCTTGCGGATAACTTTTACTGCATTTTAAAATTTCCCTTTTCCTCAATCTTAGTTTACAAACTTTCATCCATTCACAATAAATAACAAATTTATAGGTCACACAACAATCAATTATTACTTTCACTTTTCAAAATAAGGTAACTTGTTTCAGGACAGAAAAACACCTGTTTTAAATATAGGCAATTATCCTAATTAAAGTACATGGTAATTTCAATGATGTTTTTTTTTTGTGAAATGTTAAATGCTTGCTCTATCAAATTATAAAGGTTAAATTTGGGAAAGAATTTAGAATTTCATTTCAGACAAAATTAATTGCTAAAAATATAGGGTGGTGCTTATTTTATGCTCAGATGTATATATGGTTATGTTAAATATCAAAAGTACAAATATTTCAACTCATCCATGTTGAATGTAACAATATTATGTTTACTTTTAAAATTATTGTGAAATATTTCTCATTCAAACATGAAGCCAAAACAGTGAAATTGTTTGGAAAAAAATCATCTTTCTTGCCAATATATTTTTATGTACCTTGTTATAAAATGTTCCATATTCTATATTCATGTGATAATACACCTTATTCATGTGATAATACATCATTATCCATGTGATAATACATCTTTATCTGTGTGATAATACATCATTATCCATGTGATAATACATCATTATCCATGTGACAATACATCTTTGACCTTTTTGTTTTAATTGGTTACATGATATTATCTCAAAATCTTTGGCAGGCTGTTGAAATAAAGATAACAATACATTTGCGCTGCAATGTGATATGAATGATAAAAATGTAATGAATGATAAAAATGTAATGAATGATAAAAATGTAAGACACATATCATATTCCAGCTGTGAAGATCAATGCTCATGCTGTTGTTCACTGGATTGTCTGGTCCATACTCGATAATGTACAGACTACTATATGGCTGGAATATTGCTGAGTGCGGCATTAAACCACATTCAATAATCATAAGAATATTATTCAGGATCAGCATTAAATCAATAGATTTGAACTGGCACTATATTTTTTCCACATTCCTGATTGTTTAGAGTTTGTGGTTGTGTGGAACAAGTCATGAATATATAACTGATACTTTCCTTCCATCACATGTATTTTTATATCTTCTGTAGGGATCTACAACATCCTTAAAATCTTGACATTAATTGTATATTATGTGTGTTTAGTAAATATTCTTGTAGGGAAAAGTGTCCTGAAAATATTTATCTGTTTGAGATTTCATCATTACATTTTGTTTGTACGTACATGAATCAAAACACATTGGTGTATCATTCAAAATACAGATGAGATTCACTGTAGCCATGATCATGGTCGTGTAGACTTGTTCCTGACTTGCACTGGGTTGCCTTTGTTAAGTGAGAGATTTCATCACACTGTCTACGCAAAGGAATGTATAGGAAACAGACGTCAGTATTTTGTTGTTTGTTGAACAAACAGTATGTTAGAAGACTGCAATGTTTTGCTATATTTGTATGGGTCATCAGATGTTTGCTATATTGTGATACTATATCGGTTGGAGCTCGGGTTGAAGTTTAACAATTTAATATAATTACTACTTTGATGTCATTTTGTGTCAATAAACAATACCAATGTTAGGGATAATGTGTACCCATGTCAGCACAAGGATTTGTAATGCCAAAAAAACTAGCATCAAGTTATATACTGTCACTGACCAGCAATACATTAAAGGTTTACTGCTAAGACTAAGTCAGAGACAATAATTATTTTATTATATTGATGCTATTTTTTTACCTTCTTTGAGTGGCATTTTAGAAGCTTGGAAGTATAAAATTGACAAACTTTATGAATAACATCTTCTTTATTATGAGACTGCGACGTTTTGATACAGATTCTTGTACCGTTGTCAAACATTCCTGTTATCCATTAAGTTTGTCAATTTTGTTTGTTTACCCTGTGTATTTCAGTGTATACTAATTTCATCTTGTTGAATCCCTGTTCTCGGTTCATGAATATCATGTCAATAGATTATTAGAATGTCTTATACAAAGAGTGGAGCAACAAAACAATATTTCTGTATTTCGTGGTTACAATATACATTTTTCCATAAAATGCTATTGTATAAAAACATGTTGACTTATGACTTTTTTCAGAGGTTTTCTAAAATAAAAGGTTAAAACATAACTTGTGTTTTTTTGTCATATATTCACTACATATCAATTGTTCATGTGTTGGCAGGTTTCACAAACATGCTTTGTGTTCGATTCTCCATGTCGACACTATGTTTGGGACACATTGCTGGTGTTCTTGTCGTGATGCTGCTAGAATATTGATATGGAGCAGAAAAACTTACTCACTCACTTCTGTTAAAGTACTATGAGAACATTCAGGATGTGCGAGCCTCAGAATGGAATCATCTCCCACAACATTTGAGAGAAATGACAGAACTTTCAACCTTTCGAATATCGCTAAAGACCCGCCTTTTCCAAATAGCCTATTCGTCCTGACATCAGCTCTTTGAGCATGCATTGTGCATGGAAATATGCGCTTTATAAATGAACTATTATTATTATTATTATTATTACTATGAGAATATTCTGGATGTGTGAGATCTTGAGCCCATCATCCTATATTGGTCAGTACACCATGCCTAATTTATCTCACTTATTTGACTTTCCACATTTGTGATATCTCACCTTTCAGTGGTCGTTACACAATGCCTGATTTATCTCACACATTTGACTTTCCACATTTGTGATATCTCACCTTTCATTGGTCGTTACACCATGCCTGATTTATCTCACATTCCATTTAACAGTACACATTTGTCATATCTCACCTTTCATTGGTCAGCTCACCATGCCTTATGTATCTCGCCTTCCATTTGACAGTACACATTTGTCATATCTCACCTTTCATTGGTCAGGACACCATGCCTGACTTATCTCACATTCCATTTAACAGGACACAGTTGTCATATCTCACCTTTCATTGGTCGTTACACCATGACTGATTTATCTCGCCTTCCATTTAACAGGACACAGTTGTCATATCTCACCTTTCACTGGTCGTTACACCATGTCTGATTTATCTCACCTTCCATTTAACAGGACGCAATTGTCATATCTCACCTTTCATTGGTCAGGTCACCTTGCCTGATTTATCTCACATTCCATTTAACAGGACACAGTTGTCATATCTCACCTTTCATTGGTCAGCTCACCATGCCTGATTTATATCACACATTTGACTTTCCACATTTGTCATATCTCACCTTTCATTGGTCAGTACAACATACCTGACTTATCTCACGTTCCATTTGAGTGTATACATTTGTCATATCTCACCTTTCATTGGTCATTACACCATGACTGATTTATCTCACATTCCATTTGACAGTACACACATATCTCACCTTTCATTGATCAGTACAGTAAATCCGGTTGTCATGGCAAGTCCCGATGAGTCATTGTACTTCTCCTTTGCGTCTACGATAGTACAATAATTTTATCCTTTTATGGTCTCTTCTAGGGTAACGAAAGACATGGGAGGAATGCTCCAGGTTACAGATTAAAACGGTTATATTCTGGTATATGATTCTTCGTGTCAAGTTTCTCAACAGGTGTCACGTTTGATCAGTAAGATATGTGAGGCATGCGTGAAAGATGTGTCGCATTTGGATTTTTTGAATAATGTAAGACTATAGAGCGTACGTTCTGTTCATATATACTGTGGCACGAAACTCCTTGCTTGATTATGTCACACCAAGCTGAACCTATCAAGGTATGGCTGGTTTTTTTGTTGTTGGCTGTCGCCTGGTAAGGATGTGGCATTGTCCTAAATACATTTGAAGTAAATTCTACGAGTTCGAAATTTGCCAAATTTTCCACGATATTTCTTGCCTCACATCTGTAAAATCCTGTTATAATTGGTCTTCAGCAACATTTGCTTGAAAGAGGCGACTATAACGGGATCGGGTGGTCAGGTTCACTGACTTAGTTGACACAGGTCACAGTTCATGCATGCAGGGTGTTTTACTGCACGTGTGCCAGTAAGATTAAAGAGACTTTGATTTCAACAACAACTGGTGGCACCAATATAAGGGGCAGTACCTGAACGATAAAGTCTGACGTAATCAAGGGTGTGGAAAACATCGTTTACTGTGAGGTGAAGCACTCAGCAATATTCTAGCTACATGGCAGCGGTTGTAAATAATCAAGTGTGGACCAGACAGTCCTGTGATCAACAGCATGAGCATCGATCTACACAAATGGGATACGACGACGTGTGTCAACCAAGTCAGCGAGCCTAACCATCCATTAGTTGCCTCCAGCATGGGTTACTGAAGATAATTTTAACCTGGATCTTCACGGGTGAGGTGAAGTACAAGTGAAACAATCATTCATGGAAAAGGTTCGTCGCACATAACACGCTTTATGTTATACCTAAACTGAGGGGCAAAAGAAACGTCCCCGATCATTTTTGTATCATAAAATGATACAAACACGTGCAATTCAATGTTGAAATGTTTGATATAATTTTTGAACATATTATGCAGACTGTCATTACAGAACAATTGAAACAATTTGCTGTAAGTAGAGTTTTTGTGACGTTTTTCACAGGAGGTTCAAATGTCCGGTTTTCGATCATGACAACACATGCACATCAGTACTGACAGTGTCTTTGAGTGTCCAACTCCTCAGTAGCGAGTGTGTCCACCTCTTGCAGCGATACATGCTGCCACACGACGTCGTGCAGAGTGCACAAGACGTCTGATCACGTGATGTGGGATGCGACGCCATTCTTCCTGTAGAGCTTGAGCCAAAGCGTTTCTTGTCTGTGGGGGATGTTGACGTTGCTTAACCTGACGGCCGAGATGATCCCATAGGTGCTCAATAGGTGATCAATCGGGGGATCTTGCTGGCCAAGGAATGACGTTTACGTTGTTGTTGTTCAGGAAGTTCCGGGTAACAACAGCAGTGTGGGGAGTAGCGTTATCCTGCTGAAACAACACGCCTCGATTCTGCTGGAGGAAGGGTAACACGACAGGTCGTAAAACAACATCAATGTATCGACGGGCATTCAGGTTTCCCTCTATCACCAACAAGTCCGTCTTCCTCTCGCCACAAATTTCCCCACACCATCACACTACCGCCGCCAAACGTCTCAACTTCCTGAACGCAACAACGTGCTGTGCGTTCGTTCCGACGTCTGTAGACTCGTACCCGACCATCAGCTTTGTTCAACTGGAAGCGGCTCTCGTCACTGAAGAGTACCCGGCGCCAGTTCCGCGGCTGCCACTGCCGAACTCTACGTGCCCAAGCCAATCGACGACGTCGATGTTCACGCGTTAACGTCACGCCCCGGAATGGTCTGTAGGCTCTGATACCGAATCGGCGGAGTCGTCTGGATATGGTCCTTCTACTGACTGGATGGGTAAGGCTGGTTGTTGCTGATGACGTCACAGTCAGGAATCTGTTGCGCAAGTGAAGCACCCGTAAATGGCGGTCTTCCTGAGGGGTGGTTACGGGTGGTCTCCCTGTCCTAAGGCCTGTCTGCAGTCCGACCTGTTGTTCTGAAGCGTGTCATCAGTCTGGTGATGGTTTTCTTGCTGCAACCCATGATTCTTGCAACGTGACTGTGAGAAGCACCCAGCTGCAACATCCCAATAGCTCGTTCTCTCTGTTCTGCCGTGAGTCGAGGCATGTTCTTTGTGTCCAACGTATTGAAGTGATGAATTCGAGCATAATTTTTATACTGTACTTTCATACGGGTATGTTTCCACAGAACAAGCAAAAAACGTGAATAAAAGCAATTTTCATGCTTACAAGAAACTCCACGTGGATTTCCTTTCTGTGAGACGTGGGGATGCGTTCGGGAGATGTGTTCCTCAATAAATTTCCGTCATAACGAAAACAGAAGAAATGTTTTTTTACAATTTTACTTTGGGGACGTTTCTTTTGCCCCTCAGTTTATGTCGGTGTCCTCGTGCAACTGTGAAGTTCATAGGGGCACATGTTTTCAGGAGCAGAGTATGTTAATTAGCCACACACGGTTGAACTTGACATTTTATGTCAGTGTTTGTATATTTAGGATTTAAAACAAGAATTATTCATCACAGTTTGCAGATTAAATCTTAACTCAACGTTTTGGACAGCAGACGACAGTTTCTTGGAACAAGCGGCAAACGTATAGTTCGTTACACACACAAGACCTGACCATCCACAAGACCTTCTAACTGACTTGTAACGTGATGTCCGTTCCACAGATACTGATAAGTCTCCGATGTTAAAAGTCAAAAACTGATCAAAGTAACAATGAGAAATGAATGATGTAACGTCAATGCAAGAGAACAACCAGTTTTGATTATCCCCCGAAACTGTTTCTATTTGAGCAAATCACAAAATAGCTGTGAAAACTATATGAACGGCCTACTGAATATCTGCGATGACACTGAAACGTCTCATTTGTCGATAAAATTTTCACAATATGTATTGAAAATGGCTTGCGTACGCTTTCGCTTGTTCAATGTTTGGAAACATCTCGTTGTAAGTAATGGTGTAACTCCTGTAGTAATCTATCTGCCAAACACTGTATGACATCAATAGAAGGATAACCATGCTAGTTGACTTACTTATCTTTAATACTAACTTTCGGATTATATTTCTATTAGCTGCAAACCTCAATATCATCCACTTACAATATCATCGATACCAAAATAATATCGAAAAACACGTCAGTATTTCCATTAGCACTCTCTGTGTGTACACGAACAGCTGGGAGACATCGATCTGTAACAGAAGAACGTCATCAAACAGGGGATGACGTCATGCGTCCATGGCAACCGTGGCTGAAGACTATTCATGTACTAGTACTGAAATATAACGATAGAAAAATGCTCGGATTTGGAAAACCAAATCAAAGGAATTCGACGTTGTGGATTAGGCCTACTTTAGTTTGGGGTATATCGATGATCTGATAGCATATGTGGTCAAAAAGACATCAATTACCAAGTTCGGTTCCACAGAACTAAATTTAATGTTAGTGGTAAGGCTTTTCGCCGCTTTTATTTTAATAAAATAAAAGGCAAGTAATTTGTATTACAATGAAACCAAACAGAATGCCACAATCTCGGAGAGTTATCAAAGGATATTCGTTGCACATAAGCTGAGATACACTAACGGAGAAAAGAAACTATACCCCGCGTTCGATGGTGGCTAAACTGGAAAGAAACAAGGAATGATTATTCGATGGTGTATATAATCAAATACGAGTATCTTAGCTGTGTTTTGCAAATCTGAGCTCAGTTTGCACTGTTAATTGTGAATTGGTCTAGCTGTAATTTGACGGACATGAAGTTGTAATTTTTTATCACGAAATGTATGACATACAGTTGTTTCTTAGATCCAGAAATCGTGGTTCACGATCAGGGATTTTTAGACCTGGGGATCACGATGTCAAACACCCAATTCTAGTTCTGTACATGTTGTATTTGTTTGTGCCTAAAACCGCTCCAAGCACAAGACCAGATATATGACGACAGTCTGTAAATAATAGATTCTGTGGAACGCAATCCAACAGTGGACATCATGACTATTGATTTGCAGCAGTTGTGATCATCCATATCAGCGAGCCTGACCACCCGATCCTGTTAGTTGTCACTTTCTACAAGCATGGGTGGCGGAACATCTTTAAACGAGACCTCGGGACACGGGACACGTGACACACAGGTCATCGCTCATTGGCCAGTGAGAAAGTACGGTGTGGAATAGAACCAGGGATTTCATCAGGCTAGTTTCCATGTGTTATACAGTTCGCCTACAACCTGTAAGACAACACGTCCTGGACTAACACCACGGGAGGAGTTCCACGCGTGACCACTTAACCTGATCTGACCTTGTGCTTCTTCAAGTGACCACTTAACCTGATCTGACCTTGTGCTTCTTCAAGTGGGCACCTAACCTGATCTGATCTTGTGCTTCTTGGGGTGACACTTAACCTGATCTGACCTTGTGCTTCTTGAAGTGGGCACCTAACCTGATCTGACCTTGTGCTTCTTGGAGTGACACTCAACCTGATCTGACCTTGTGCTTCTTGGAGTGACTCTTAACCTGATCTGACCTTGTGCTTCCTGAAGTGACACTTAACCTGATCTGACCCTGTGCTTCCTGAAGTGGCACTTAACCTGATTTGAGTCCGGGGTCAAGCCCTGACCTGATCCTGAATGACCGCTTATAGTTGATTGACCCTGTAGCTGCTAAGTGACCGCTCAATCCGATCCGATCATTTACCGGTGACTCCCATATGGAGGAGCCGAGTCTGATCCAGCTTCACCTCACAGGTCAGGATTTGGTCACAAGACGTATTACGCAGGATTTATAATATATTGCAAGACGGCCCATACTCTAAATCTGGTCATTATCCAACTCTCCAACGGCGAATTTCTTCACAAGACAGGACAGACGAAAGTAGGGCCCATATATTAAGTGGTACAAACATAATAGTCTTGAATTGATCTAATGTGAAACAGTGGAACCTTCCTCTATCGCGACCTTGTTATATTTAACCATCTGTGCGGTTCTAGCTAGCTCACACCACACACGGCGAGTTGTTTTTATTATACTCTTCAAAAAAAAGTAGTAGGGGAACTTCATTTTAATTTACGATTGAAAAAAATGGGAGATATATCGGAGTTAATCAATGTTGATATGATAATAATGCATGTTTTGAGAGTGCATCACCACTTGCACTCCCTTATGACCATAGTTGCTTGTATCAGTAGTCGCTCTTGAAAGAAGTTTGCATGAATACGATTTTCATTTTCAAACAAAAACAGAGGCTAGAAACAAACACTAACAACTGTGTGATGCAAGATGACTGGCAAAATTAATGGTCTATAGTGATTTATCGACCTTCTAGAAAACAGTCAAAATCAAGAATGACATACCATGTACAGCGTTGTGCCCGTGCATCCACGCGTTATGTTTAGGCGTAGTGGTAAAGAGAAATAGCGGTGTGCACAGGGGCTTGTATTGCTGAAAATAATACGTCCTGGGTCCTACAAGCGTACACTGATATCCATATACATATAAAGAAGGATATGTATATGGATATCAGTGTACGCTATAGGACAGGACGTATTATTTTCAGCAATACAAGCCCTGGCGGTGTGTGATGATGATTTTCACGAAGAAGCATGTACAATGTGAATGCACCCCCCCCCCCACCCTGAATTTATGTACAAAGTAAGTGAAACTTCCCCTTACATCTACAAAATCAATGACGACCCCTTCAGTACATGTGTACAAATTTGATGATACCCCCACCTCCCAGAACAAAATGGGTTATCCCCCTAAAATTATCATTACACCCGGTGAGCTTAATACGGAGAGTTCGATATGTGTCGCGTTATGTGTGGCAGATTGTGTGCACTTGTCAAATAAAGGTTTGGTATCCATGACAACGCTTAACCACCGACTCAATTGCCTGTTGGGTAGATGTTGTAACCATAGTTCAGGCTGTAACATGCATAAACAGATATGCCGCTTGCTCACATCGTAGCGTGATAATGAACAATTAGCAGATTGAGTTAAGCTCTGTGATGTTATCGTGAGTGGTGTAAGTGAAGCGCCTGTAAAATCTCACATAATGTGAGAAGGAGAAATTGACTTGTGACTTGCTTCAGTGTATTTTTGAGTGAGTTGTTTACAGTTTTTCCAAGGAGTGTCATCTCAAAATGGAATAAAACCTCAAAGTGACACAGGTCGGTTTTGATAGCCATTTTTGTGAAACCCGCCAGCACGGCCATTATGTAGCAGGACTAATCATGATCAGGAGGTATAGATCTGGGAGCAGAACCAGTGATTAGAGCAGATCCAGGACCACACCGGATGTACCTGTATACAGTACATTGCAGTGCCTGTTGTCAGTGGACCGGACGTCGATCTAATGTTTACATAGATTTGAAATCATGTCTATCTCATTAGTGCGTCAATATTTTGATTTATTAGGACAGACCAATTTTATTTCTTGTTTTACGGATTTTTGTCCTCAGAAAACCTAAAGGCAGGAGGGAATTTTTTAAAAATCACCCGTCAAAGTAATATTCCCTCAAAATACTACTTTTGGCAATTTATGAAGTGTATACGGGGCAAAAAACAATCTAAAAAATACTTTTCTTGTAAGTTTACATTTTTGGCCAATATAAACATTAGGATTTTATTTTTGAAGCTGGGAAAATAATTTTTTATTTTTCAAATTTTCTTGAAAAATTATGACAGGCGGATCCGTAAAACAAGAAATATAATTGGTCAGGCCTTATTTACATAAGTAAAATACATGAAAAGGTAGCATCAAAAACCATGTCTATCTCATTATATGTTCTTGATGTTTGTTATGTGTGGTCAATATTTTGATTATTTAATTAAGAAAAATAACTTTACAAGGGATGATTAAGTAAAAGGTAGAAATACTGGGACTCCATCAATAACCTGACCCAACCCCTGACCAAACCCACCAATTATCACCCTCACCCCTGCTAGCCTCATCACTTCAGTGTTGATGCCCATGAGAACCACACCCACATAGTCACAGCATCCAGTCCTCATGGCAGTCTTTACGTAGCCCGTCATTGCTGCTCGTATTTTGTCAATATATCGCTAAATGTGATCCAGGTCCAAATGTCAATAGTATCATATATTTACCTTTCTTCAGCCGCGCACTACCTGAGTGAAGTTAATGCAATCAAAGCCCAACTCGTTATCACTGCTACAGGTCTGTGCGTCCCAGCCAGGTAGGTATTGATCCCCCAGTAGTGATGAGGAGAGGGAGGAGAGAGCCAGAGATGCAGAATACCATCACTCTCTCATAAGGGTTGGCTCTGGTACAGCTGCTGGTGGATAGGTGAGTCAAAGTCTCTTTACTCATTACCTTGCGACAACATATGGTCGTTTAATTATCCTATGTACAAAGCATTTGTGCAGTCTGAATGACAGGTTCCCTATACCTACTAATGGAAATCTGTCTATGTTATTAGGTACACTGCTCCAATGTGCTGTTCATGTATTGTAGACTGACATTGTTGAATCTTGGGCTGGCTGTGATAGTGTCCATCTGATCTCTTACTTTCTGGACAGGAAGAGTTCTCAGTAGTGTGTGCTATTGTATTATTTCAGTGAGTGAGTGAGTAATTGTCCAGAAAGCGGGGACTCCTGATTAGAAGGGTGCAGAGAATAAAATATTAAAGATTTCTCGGTACATATATGTCAAATATGCCCATACTTCATACACACTTACAGTGTGAGTGAGTTTGGTTTTATGCCACTTTGAGCAATATTCCAGTAATATGATGGTGGGGGGACACCAGAGTAGGGATTCACACATTGTAGCCATGTGGGGAATCGAACCCAGTCATTGGCGTGACGAGTGAATGCTTTAACCGCTAGGCTACCCCACTGACGCTTATTACTTGAGTTACATGGGAATCAGGTGCTTACAGTGAGTGGCCTGGTTTGGTAATAGATGCTGATGCTATCAACCACCGGTTTGTCTGGGGCAGGTTCACAGCTTTCTTCCTCAACCAGTGTGTTCTTCCACAAATGATCTGTTCTTCCTCAACCAATGAGCTCTTCCTCAGCCATTTTTTCCTTCAAGTAATGTGTTCTTCATCAACCAATTTTTTCTTCCTCGAATAGTTTGTGCTCTTCCTCTCATAATGTAATCTTTTTAACCAATGTGTCTTTCCTCTGCCATTTTTTTCTTCTTCACATAATGTGATCTTTTTCAACCAATCAAACTCTTCTTCTTCTTCCAGTATGCTGTTCTTCCTAACAGAACTCTCCCTGAACCAATGTGTTCCTCTGTCAAAATTTGAGAAAACAAACACCTTCACCTAAAATTAAAATACACACCAGGGCCTACTTGCACAGAGCAATCTTAACACTACAATTATTGTAAATCCTTAAGATCGCGATCTTAGGCTTCGGCTACAATCGCCATCCACTTGCACAAAGCGATTGAAGGCTAAGATCATTGTAAGTTACAATCGAAACTTACAATTGGTCCGGACCCATTGTAAGGAGCTAAGATTATTGTAGTCTGTGACAAAATGGTGTTCATGTTAGTGTCTGTTTCACGCATATAATCAGCTTTACGTTTGGAGACTGCTTTTATATTGCATAAAACTGTGTGGTTCGCCTCGACACTTCAACAACATGGAAAATGCACAACCAAGTTAACGTCGGATACATGGTTATTTACTGTAGTGAACCACAGAACTATCGAGTCGATATCACAAAGTACTATTCCCACCCGATTCAATGTTGGAATAAGTGTGAAACAACATACCTCTTTGATAATCAAAGAAAGGATACTAGCGAATGGTGTCCGCATGCGATTAACAATGGCCGTAACCGTTTCATTAACTCAAGAGCAGATAATTTTAGTTTATACACAAGATGAGAGTGGTTTCCCTTGGCATATGCCGTTGCCATAGTCTGTCATGCCCAATCTCAGAGCTCTTGAAACATACATTTCTTTTCGGTCATGGAGTAATTTTGTCTTAGTTTATCATGAAAGTAATCTACAATTAGATACAAGTTAACATGCAAAATGAAGTTTCTTTCTCATCCATAAATCTGAAATTGAGTACGCATTTTAAATATATACATCTATAGGGCCTATTCCCCAAATAGGATATACATATGCTGAAGCATTAGAAATTTATGTTTCAAAAGAATTTCACTTTTAGAAAAATATTCATCAACGCAATATGGTTATATCATTAATATAGTGTGAATAAGTATTTGACAACTGCTCTCTCAAAATATTATTTGATATTGGTATTTCCCTGTCATGCATTTCACTTTCAACACTTCTGTAGCAATATCACATCTTCTTTTTGTAAGAAAACTATACTTCTAGGATATTTTTAGGATTTTACCCCAAAATCCCCCAACAACAACCATTGGCAAATCATACATCTAGGTGTTATATCATAAGGAAATATTGTTTATATTTGACGTTTTAATTTTCCTAATTATTAAGTCACTAAATCTAGACCCAAATATATTAATGTATTGTTTCGTAGTTCAGTATTTTCACAAAACATCATGGGTAGGTATTTCTGTGTTTGCAATATCACATTCTCAGTTCATAAATCAAGAGAGTTAAAATGTAGAAGAGTATATGCTATCGTCCACATAATCGTTTCCTTCAAAGATTTCTGTGAATTTTTCATGAAAATTCTGCAAAGTGCGATTGAGGGAGGTATGCATTGTGTGCAGGGACCAGTGTGATTGAGGGAGGTATGCATTGTGTGCAGGGACCAGTGCGATTGAGGGAGGTATGCATTGTGTGCTGGGACCAGTATTGTGTGCAGGGACCAGTGCGATTGAGGAGGTAGGTATGTATTGTGTGCTGGGACCAGTGCGATTGAGGGAGGTATGCATTGTGTGCTGGGACCAGTGCGATTGAGGGAGGTATGCATTGTGTGCAGGGACCAGTGCGATTGAGGGAGGTATGCATTGTGTGCAGGGACCAGTGTGATTGAGGGAGGTATGCATTGTGTGCAGGGACCAGTGCGATTGAGGGAGGTATGCATTGTGTGCAGGGACCAGTGTGATTGAGGGAGGTATGCATTGTGTGCAGGGACCAGTGCGATTGAGGGAGGTATGCATTGTGTGCTGGGACCAGTGCGATTGAGGGAGGTATGCATTGTGTGTGCAGGGACCAGGTGTGTGCAGGGACCAGTTGAGGGAGGTATGCATTGTGTGCTGGGACCAGTCCAGTGTATTGTGTGTGCTGGGATTGATTGAGGAGGTATGCATTGTGTGCAGGGACCAGTCACGATTGAGGGAGGTATGCATTGTGTGCAGGGACCAGTGCGATTGAGGGAGGTATGCATTGTGTGCAGGGACCAGTGCGATTGAGGGAGGTATGCATTGTGTGCAGGGACCAGTGCGATTGAGGGAGGTATGCATTGTGTGCTGGGACCAGTGTGATTGAGGGAGGTATGCTGGGACCAGTTGATGTGCTGGGGGACCAGTGCGATTGAGGAGATGGTATGCATTGTGTGCAGGGACCAGTGCGATTGAGGGAGGTATGCATTGTGTGCAGGGACCAGTGCGATTGAGGGAGGTATGCATTGTGTGCAGGGACCAGTGCGATTGAGGGAGGTATGTATTGTGTGCAGGGACCAGTGCCAGATTGAGGGACCAGGTATGTCCATGTGTGCCAGTGGACAGGGACCAGTGTGATTGGGAAGGTATGTATTGTGTGCAGGGACCAGTGCGATTGAGGAGGTATGTACCATGTGCTGGGACCAGTGCGATTGAGGGAGGTATGTATTGTGTGCTGGGACCAGTGTGATTGAGGGAGGTATGTCTTGTGTGCAGGGACCAGTGCGATTGAGGGAGGTATGTATTGTGTGCAGGGACCAGTGCGATTGAGGGAGGTATGTACCAGTGTGCAGGGACCAGTGCGATTGAGGGAGGTATGTGTGCATGTGCTGAGGGAGGTATGTACCGTGTGCTGGGACCAGTTGAGGGAGGTATGTACCGTGTGCAGGGACCAGTGTGATTGAGGGAGGTAGGGAGGTATGTCTTGTGTGCAGGGACCAGTGCGATTGAGGGAGGTATGTACCATGTGCTGGGACCAGTGTGATTGAGGGAGGTATGTATTGTGTGCTGGGACCAGTGTGATTGAGGGAGGTATGTACCATGTGCAGGGACCAGTGCGATTGAGGGAGGTATGTATTGTGCAGGGACCAGTGCGATTGAGGGAGGTATGTACCATGTGCTGGGACCAGTGTGATTGAGGGAGGTATGTACCATGTGCTGGGACCAGTGTGTGCTGATTGAGGAGGTATGTATTGTGTGCAGGGACCAGTGTGTGATTGAGGGAGGTAGGTATTGTGTGCTGGGACCAGTGGGATTGAGGGAGGTATGTACCGTGTGCTGGGACCAGGGACCAGTGTGATTGAGGGAGGTATGTACCATGTGCTGGGACCAGTGTGATTGAGGGAGGTATGTACCGTGTGCTGGGACCAGTGCGATTGAGGGAGGTATGTACCGTGTGCTGGGACCAGTATCACTTTTTGTTTGCGCAGCATGCTATGCTCAGTTACAGACAACTGTAGACAGGAGTCGAGTTTAAGGAATTCGTACCTCAGCCGTTGAAGAGTTCGATCTTAGCTAACATCGCGTCTTACAATCGTACTAAGATCGGCTTTGTGCAAGTGGATTAGGGCAATTGTATGTTGATTGTAAAGTTGATTGTAGGGCCTAAAATTGATTGTAACTAAGATTGTTCTGTGGAAGTGGGCCCAGAACATTTCAAGTTTTCTTACATGTTCTTCTGAGTTCTCTGGGGGACGGTGGGGTAGTCTAGTGGTTAAAGCGGTCGCTCGTCACGCCGAAGACACAGGTTCGATTCCCCACTTGGGTACAATGTGTGAAGCCCATTTCTGGTGTCCCCCTGCCATGATATTGCTGGAATATTGCTGAAAGCGTCATAAAACTAAACTCTCTCACTCACTCTGAGTTCTCTGTTTCTGTCAAATCCTAACATGATTATGTTATCATGATCACAATGTTTTGTTAAACATGATAATATTTGAGTAGTGACAATTACTTAAATAAAACCCAATTATGCAAAATGCAGTGTATTGTGAGTTTAGTATCCATTTCATGTAATAATGAGAGTTTCTCTATAATCAGAAAGATAGCTTTTATTTTGAATAATATATAAAACATGCCACTGGATTATGTTTGATATGTCATTCCCAAGAAAATGGGTGAAAAGCCATTGTTATTCCAGATTAACTTCTGTTAAAGTTTTGATGAGGTGTTTTAATATTGCATTCAGTGGGAACTAGAGAACTGAGCATTAATAATGTAATTACTCCACAAGGATTGTAACCTGTGCATTGTTCATCTTTAGAACAATGCTGTACATCCGGGAAAATATGTGCAGGTATATTTTCTAATTAACAGCCATAAGTGAACAGATTTTGAAATATAATCCACATGAATAGCTATTCTGTTTGTCCGTATATGAATGCTACACCTCATTAGTGGACAGACCTCACATTGTAATATGGGTTTTCAAATGGATTTTGTTTCAATTTTTGTGTGGAAAGAATTGGCAGAATTTCTCCCATGTCTAATCCAGCAATCCTTTAAGAGGCAAACAGACTTTGGGAATCATAAAAACCAGGTCTGTGTTTAAACACCTGCCAGGTAGTGCTTACAATGGACAAAAGGCTTCCTCACGGACTTCAGATGATAACATTGATGTTTCTATGTTGATGCTGGACTTGTTGAGATATATACACAAGGGCAAAAGTAACCGTGAAATTAGAATGTGTGATAACTGAAAATTGAATACATTTATGATGATGGGCTATTTGGCTTGATGACTGTTTAGTCTTCTATGCAACAAACAATCCAGGATGTTAATATCCGAGTGTTTGGATGTCGTTGAATAATGAAGTAAAATGGAAAGATCACAGAATCGTTTTACCTTTTCAAGCTTCTAATAGTCAACAAAAGTAGACCAAAATTTCATTATTGCTTATCTAAAGAACAATAAAATAATTTACTTTGTTTAAATTCTAAATTTGTAAAACTAATTAATTTTTAAACAGTTTTGTTCATATTTAAGACAATTAATTTTTAATACTTTAAATATACAATGAATAAAGAGTGTAGTTATAAATAAAAGTCATTTAATAAAAATAGAGCAGATAAAAGCAGCTTGCCCAAAGATTCCCATGCCCTGGCATTATACAACCTAATATATAACGATGGAATTATTTATCAATTGCTTTTATGGATCCTAGTCACATGAAAATGGATTTTTTAATCAAAATTATTCTTTGCTGATTTTAACGTATACCTTTTGCATGTTTTTTCACATGATAATGGAAGGTCCTGCCTGGAACACAGGAGATAGTATTGATCAGAGTACAGGTTGTTTGTGGGGAGGGGGGGATAACATCTGCATGGTGGAACTGTTTTATGGCCTTTCATGATGTGTGTTTGGAATCGGAGTGATTAATTAAGTGTGTTTTACAGATGTAGTTATTGACTACTCATCTGTAATAATGTTTGGTGAATGTTATTGTTTAACTAATGACAGTTGCCATGTGGAAAATAGCTTTTTAATGTGTGTATGTTTATTGGTTTGTGGTAGTGATGATAAGTCTGGGCTTCAGTCATTTCACCGAAGTTGTTAACGTCAAAATGCCTCAATCATATCTGGATTTTTTCACACTGTAAACTGACATACTATGTTATTACTGGCACGCTAAACTGCCTCACTCACTCACTCGCTCACTCACTCACTCACTCACTCACTCGCTCACTCACTCACTCACTCACTCACTCTTCAATCACTGTTTAATTTGTCACTCTTAATCACTCTTAATTACTGTTTAATTTGCTGGGTGAAATATTTACTTGCCTGTGCATGTGTTTGTGATGGATGCCATCAGTAGAGAAGAATATGCTCAGCATTTCCTAAACCACTTCTTCCATCACTATATGATAATGATGTAGTTAGACTCATACAACATACTCGGCTTTGAGGAGAGATTTCATATGATTGGGGAAATGTGTTTCGTCATTTCTATTGAAATACAGATCGATGCTCATGATGTTGATCACTGGATTCTCTGGTCCAGACTAGATTATTTACAGACTGCCACCATACAGCTGGAATATTGCTGAGTGCGGTGTAAAACTAAACTCACTAACTCAACTCACTCTATTGAAATATGTTTAGCATTTATTTGGGTAAGTAAAAACTGAATAACCTTTGTTCCAGAATGTTTTCTTTTTGGTTGTATTTGTCACTTTTTATGTGATGTTGTTTCCTCTAATGAAATTTCAGCAATTTCTCTTGTAAATAACAATAGTTTGTTTACTAATCTCTATAAGAAGGTATTGTACAGAATCAGTACCAAGACATGTGACATTTCATTGTTCAATTGAAACCCTTTGTCAAAAACGTAAATTAAATTCTTGCAAGTTATGTATTCTTGTTCCCATGGCAACATCACTAGATTTGAGATCATTTTCAACATATCTGTTTGAACTTTCTAAATGATTCATAACGGAGGTACATCCTCTCTGTCAGGTGCATGCATACTGAAGCTGCACTAGCATTCTAGTGAGTGAGTGAGTGTGAGTGAGTGAGTGAGTGAATGAGTGAGTGAGTGAGTGAAATAAATGACAGCATGTCAAGAGACTAACCATTTCAGGCTCAGTTTTGTGATTTGTTGCTCCCAAGATGGCACCCCTGACATGTTGCCATGCAACTGTGACATGACACGACATGCCTGGTATTGTAGTCTGTGTCACTGTACAGGGACGTAGTACTGGAGTGAATGTTTGAATTCTTGGTCAATAATGATATTGGAACAGTACTGAACAACAATCATGCATTAATGATTATGATATTTAGTTGTGTGGGAAAATGCATATGTTTTAATTTTTAGTATAATTTTAATACAAAATTGCCGAGAGGATAATTACAACACAACTGCTTTCATTAAGAGGTAGACGATGTCAGCCACAACCATCTGCTCAGTAAGACTCTGTGGTCTGCTTAGCATTACCATAGTAACGTCAATTTAAAATAGAAGCAGATGTCAAACCCATTTTCTTTAAAACATGTAATATAACATATTTCATGCTGTAATTTTCTAAAACAATGATTTTAAATAATATTCTGAGCACAGTGGAATTTTGAGGAGACAAGGTCGTGTATTATCACTAGATAATGAGTTACTGTAAATGCAACCTGTTGTTTTCTGAAACATGGATTGGGTATGTATATGAGTTCAGTTTGACAGAAGAGTAGTAAAGGACTGACAGGGGAGAGATTGTTTGTGTAGGCATTAAAGGTCGGAATGAAAACCCTGTTTCCTGCAGTTATGGCTGAAGTTGATCTGTAGCAGACATAAGTCTATCATACTCACGCCTATGATGATCAACAAACTGCTATACACAAACATTTACAACAAATCAAACATTTGTCTAACGATGAAGTAGTCAGCTGACTGAAACAATAGCTGCATGTCTGGGTTCTCTGAACCGGTCTGTTGGTAAAACATTTCTCCTTAAGCATTAAGAGATTTTAGACTTTTTTTATTGGCCTGTCTTCAGATTTGTCTTCTGTCTTGTTTGGGCCCTTGTTCACAGAGGATGGAACAAGTCATTAATTATCCAACATTTAGAGGAAATATCCTACTTAAAACATTTTTAAAATTCCTTAGATTATATCAGTAGGAAATTATGAGGAGTGAAAGAAAGAGTGCACTATCAGGGATGGTTTCTTGCAATACCTCCCAAGTAACGGCTTCAGAACGGAATAGTTCCAGGAATATATTCCACATGATATCTGCACCACATTACCCAGTCTGTTTCCATCAGCTGTTCTTGATAAAATTCCAGTTCCAAACTGCGGACTCTTTCATCACATCTCAAGTCTGATACCAGTGCATGCTAAGCACATGTATTACGATGTCCCTCTACAATGCCCCGAGTTCTCGAGATCTTGAAAAACAGCTGTTGCACACTGCCACAACATGTTAGGTTGGAAATTAAATATCACGACAGAGGTTTCTGAAATAGCCATTGCTGCACAATGAGTTCCATTAACAGCGCAGACATTGTTGTAGAAGCTTGATACTAAAGACTTGCTAGCTACATTTACTTGTAATACAAAACACACCATGTCTAGACGGGTCCTAGCTGAGATTACAAGACTGCCCTGTCTGGGCAACTTGATTCAGTCACAGCTGTGTGTTGACTTGGCTATCTGAAGGTTGTCTGTTTATAATCTGAAGTTTAATGCTTAAAATATTTAATAATATTAAAATAAAATTCTAGAATACAGAATCTGTGGGTATATTATGTTGATGCAAGTTTGTATTTGTATTTGACTTAAAAATTGTGATGTTTACAGCAAAACTAATTATAGGGGCATTGTATAGAATATTTACGGAATGTTTTTATGTTTGGAATCAAACATTGGTCCGGAGTACTGAAATGTTATTGGTATGTCTGCAAGAAATGTCCACCTGTTTGAGCTGCGTAGCTTGTAAACACTAAGCGAGAAGTGCAATGACCCGGCCAGTATGTACGTAGTTATCTCCCTTGGTTTGGACACATTTTTGTGAACCTCCCATCATGAGTTCCCATGCCAAGGATTGTGTGTTTGGTCTCATGCACTGAAAAGAAATTATAAGTAGACATACTATAACATTACTGTGAGTATTTCATATTACCGGTAATTACATTGTATTTGGGGATGGGGATGTGCTGCGGTATGGGGAGATGTTGTCATCAAGTTTACAGATATTCATGACTCTTTGGTAGACTACAAAATATATTTTTGAAACACCAGATACAATTTTTAACCTCATGACATGTAAATGTGTGAAATTCCTCCGTTACACAGAATATGAAATTTAATATCATGGATGTGCTGTGAGCACACTCAGTGGAGGCAAGTTAGTTGTTCATTCATTCATTCATTCATTCATTCATTCATTTCATTTCATTCATTCATTCATTCATTAAAACATTCATTCATTCATTCATTCATTCATTCATTAAAATATCTGAGAAGAGTATTTTAGGAATGTATTTTCATTTATTTATGAATATCACTCACTCACTCACTCACTCACTCACTCACTCACTCACTCACTCACCACTCACTCACTCACTCAGGAATGTATGTGGATGATTGATAGTTTGATTGATGGCTCATTCAACAAAACGTTAAAAAGGGGCTGAATTATTGCTGCATGTTTCAGCAAGTTAGATGAACAATACCTGTATATCTATTTAGTTCAGGGATGGAAATTAGCACCAGCAGCCAGTATTGATGATGTTAAGGGTATCCTAGACTCTCAGACATGTGGGTGGTCTTACTATGTGTTATCCCGGTGTGAGCTGCTACACTTCTTGGATATGTTCCTTCTCAGCTGAAAGTGTCATCCAGTTAAACAATATCAGGAAAATGTTCGTTACGTATACTTGTTGATTTTTATATCGTAGTTGAAGAATTACTCTTCTGAACATGTAAAACAACACTGCATTTCAAGACTATTTGAATAATTTCTTTTCCAAATTGCCTCTCTTCCTTAAAAAACATGCCCATGTGGGTTTGAAGAGACTTAGAATATGGAGACAAGCCAGCGTCACTTCAGGCCCTGCCAGCTATACTTTTTAAATGTCTTGTATTGTTTTCTCATGTGACAAGCCATGGTTTGATGGACTGGTACTCCATTACATGGATGTAAGTCTTAATGAAGGGAGATGTAGTTGTGTACTGGGGTAACAGGTCGGTATACGTGATGCATGTGTGGTATCTGATATTCTGGGATGTAGGTCTTAATGAAAGGAGATGTAGTTGTGTACTGGGGTAACACGTCGGTATACGTGATGCATGTGTGGTATCTGATGTTCTGGGATGTAGGCATTCAACTTTGTCATCCATTAGATTCAGTTATTGTATGGAACAGATTTATAACCATTCTGACTGGTTTTTGTTATAATCAGACTTGTTGAATATGTTTTATCAATAACATTTGACAAAATCCGTATCAGAGATGCAGATATGTAGAATTGTGTGTATTTATTATGTCACATACCTTCAAGAAGGGGCGGTGGGGAGCCTAGTGGTTAAAACATTTGCTCATCACACCGAAGACCCGGGTTCGATTCCCCACATGGGTACAATGTGTGAAACCCATTTCTGGTGTGCCCTGCCATGATATTGCTGGAATATTGCTAAAAGGAGCGTAAAACTAAACTCACTCACCGGCATGAAAGAAAAACTTTTGGAAAATTATAACTCAAAGCCAAAATATATTCAAACATGAACATAAATAACATAAAACAAGTAATATAAATCAAAAGACAATTATGAAAAACAAAAATATCAAAATGACAAATTGAACACCAGATACTTAAATAGCTTGATGATCTCCAGATGATGAACATGGCAGAGTGAGTGAGTAAGTGTGACTAATGGTTGACAATATGAACACCAACTACACACCAGCCAATCACTTTGTCTTTTACAACAAACATGGTGACAGAATTTCATTGCCATTTACCCGATGAAGGGTGAATAAAGGTGAGAATTGGATGTCAACTTCTTGTATTATGAGGAACAAGACATTTCAGAGTGTATTCTTACTCTTTCTTCAGGTGAATCCTTAGAGAATATCTCCCAACATCATTCACATGATGAAGGAGTTAATTATTCCCTGAAACATTGTGTTCCTCAAAACAAAGATGACATCCATAAATTCTTGCTTTTATGTGTATCAGTTCTGTAGCCATTTAAAGACTTGAATGGTGAATATCTCTTCCACATTGCACACCTGTCTGTGACGTTCACATGATGTGTTACATGTAACCTGGAAGGTCCTATCAAGATACAGTTTGGATCCGCTTTGGATCCTGAAGACATGATACACTGACCATAGATCCTGGTGTTTGTGATAAACAGGAAATGCCAGGAGATAAATTCTTCTGGAGACATACATTGTTTACGTGTATAAACCTCCCTGGAACATGAGGGTGATCTACAGACTGACGGGGACGATTTCTACTCTCTCAAAATAATTGCTGACAAAGGTAATTGATGACTAAAATAGCCAGCAGTGCGGTCCGTCTGACGTTTTTATTTACTGATGATATGTTTTGTTTAGAGCTAACGAGGACAAAGAGTGTGTAGAGACCAGGACTGTAAGAAGACCTTGTTTAATCTTGGGGACATATTTGTCCACTAGGGACAGCGGCCGCGACGTCGCTGCACCGTGCAGGAGTATACCTCCTCAAACATAGGTCTGTTACGGCAGCAAGATTAGGGAGTAAATAGTCCTAACGTGCAGCATTTTAACGTGTTGACACAAGACTTTCTATGTCATTCCCAGCATGGGCAAATAGGCCTGACCCAGGAGACGGCTTCATCCTGCTACCGTGATGCTAGTCCTCATGTCTCCTCAGTCAGTCGCTCCTCGCTGGAAGAGGCAGTTGGTAGTCGGCTGGGGTGGTGGCAGCGATCTCGAAGCAGCAGTGTTGAAATAGCTGTCAGCATTGAAATACTTGAAGGGATATCATTTGCACCTGTTAAGTAGTGGTTGAATATGTTGAAGTGTGACCAATGTTGAATTGTGACCAGTGGTTGTAACTGTTGAACTGTGACCAGTGTTGAATTGTGACCAGTGTTGAATTGTGACCAGTGTTGAATTGTGACCAGTGTTGAACTGTGACCAGTGTTGTACCATGACCAGTTGTTGAATCTGCTTAATTGTCAACTGGGCAAAACTGATGGATAGTGATAATAGTGGCAACAGATGATAATAATATAATATCTGCAAAGATGAAATAGTGACTTTGGCTGCAGTGACTGGAAAAGGAATTTGTTTAAAAAATATTAATATTGACTTGAGTTGTGAAGAAATGGTATAATCCTTGACACTGTGATAGTGGTGAACAACTCAGACCTCACGGGACATCTGTAACTGACAGCCTAAATACCTTTTGTGAATATGACCCGAAGGATTATTAACTTACCCAGTCAACGCTGAAAGCATCTGGTGAGTAAAAGGACTATAATCTATACTGATGCCCTAAAGATTTTATCCCATAAAAGTCATTTGGCAAGTCGAGCACCATTGCTGCTATATTGGCATGTGTCCATATAACAAGCCGTTTTCTAAACCTAATGAAAAAGTTGTTTTAAACTGAGAAAAAAATACTGGCATGGCTTGGATCTCTTGCTTACAGTATTTTTACAAACTCTGACAGCGAATAATTCTGGACTTGACCAACCAGTGATTGATATCCTTTGCAACAACCCATGCTGTATGGGTACTGTACTTTGACATGCAGTCAGCCTATTGGTCAAGTCTGTCCCCTCATTACTTCAAGTCACATTGTTCAAAATAGCATTGGTTCGAGAACACTGTCTAAAACAGAATCCAATTTGTTAATTATTTGTCCATAGGAATGTTAATCTACAATATTATTTCCCTAGATACCATTTTGTAGGAAAGAATTAAAGAAAGTTTTTTCACATTTTTCATTAATTCAAAAACATTGAACTTATGTTGATTGACTTTATTGGTTTTGGGTTTTTTACAAGAAATGTAAAGAATTGTCCTTAGCATGGTAGTTCTTTGAGAAAACAAGAACAAATTCTTTCAAGAAAAGATATGAGCCTCGTTTTTCATAGAAATAAAGTGCCATCTAAATGAAATTCTCCATAATAGATGAGTGTGTTGGGTTTAATGCAGCACTGAACGGATTTCTAGTCAGCATGTCAGCATTGGTGAAATCCACTAGACAAGCCTAAAAACATAATCAGGGTGAACCAGGTGTAGAAAACATAATCATAGATTCCTGCAATGTTCAAGGGAGGCAACTCTGTACATCAACATGTGGTGAACGTTTGATTGAACATGTGGTTGAGGGTATGTAGAAATAACAAAGAATGCACTTTTCAGGAGTATATTACTAAAGTACTGGAGGTGAGTGAGATGTAAAAATCTGCCAGATTAATTGAGGTAATGAACTTGTGATATCATCTCAAACCTTTGATATTTTAAAACAGATTGTAAAATCAATCATTACATGAATCACCTTTGGAAGCAATGTTTGAAGCCAAAGTTCAATATCCAACTAATCTCTGTCACTGATGTTTTTTTCACATGTCAGGAATTCAAATATTCTTGTCCTTTCGATTTCTGCTCCACTAATGGCATCCCGTCCACTGATGCTGATACGGAACACATTGATTATCCCCTGATGGCCGGTGTAAAGTAACACCTTAACACACCCACATATTGACAGTCCGCCACTCGGTGACAACAATTACACATTCTGTAGAATTACTCTCCAAAAATGAGATCGGATTCAATATTTGTTACATGAAAAAGGCTCCTTTGGACAAATTTAGAATCTGTAATAAATCACCGGATATGAAACTGCTCAGGTCAATGATGAAGTAGCTTTTTTATTACTGTAGGATATTACGATGTATTTCTTCGATCGCTTCGTAGGGCTGTAGGGTTAAGACATTCAGGATGTTATTGTCTGTGGTATAACTTAATGAACAGAGCTAACAGACTTTTACAGTTAGCTATCTAGACAGCATTGTGTTCAGAGGTTCTCATTTACATTATTAGGTTAGGTAGCCCAGTGGTTCAAGCATTTGCTGTTGGTTTTAGTTCTATTCCCCATGGACCAGTGAAAATCCTGGTTAGAACTGGTCTTCAGTAACCCATGCTTGTCGAAAAGAGACAAAATACGGGATCTGGTTGCCAGGCTCACTGGCTTGGTTGACACATGTCATTTTATCCCAACTGTGTAGATCGATGCTCATGCTGTTGCTCACTGGATTGTCTGGTGCAGGCTTGATTATTTACAGACCGCTGCCATATGGCTTGAACATTGTTCAGTGCGACTTTAAACAACTACCAACCATCCAATCTATTCCCCTCAAGGTATAATCTATACAGCCCCTGTCTGGTGTCCCCGCAGTAGAACCCCACTCTCTCATTCAACCTCACTCACTCACTCAATTTACACAATGAAAACTGACCATGACCTTCATGCAACATACATACTGGTTACCATAGTTACTTGAGGCACAACAATTCACTGAATTGTCATAATCACCAAGGTATAAAGTGCAGTGACATTTGTGAAGATTTTCTATGCTTCAATTCTTTTTCTCGAATTACATCCAACAGAGATGAAGTGTGGAGATTGATCTTTTTAAAAATAAAATGAATTCAGCCATATTAGGACTGAAGAAATTGTAGATGGTCACAGTGGGAGAAGCTCATGAGGATACAATTCATTATTTAGTGGTTTACCTATAACAGATAAATGTCTCTTCCGAAGCTATGTCAGTAACAACACATCACACCATTTTGAAAATCCTAATAAAACTTAGATCTATAACTTGTAATATATTTGTATTTTTTTATGTAATATTAAATTTAATCAACAAAACCTGTTCTATAATTATAAGAAATACTTTTTTTTAAAGTAAAGTCCATATTGCTTGACGTACAGGAAACATTGATTGCTGGAAGTCATCCCTCTCGACGTACTGAGACCTTTGGTATGACCTTTATCCACATTTTAGAGTCATAACAATGAATAGTTTACCTAGTACAATGTACATTGTAGTGCCCCATGCTTGTATATTCTTTATTTAATATACTACACTGAACTTATACTGGACTAGAGGAAAGGTATCTGGTGGTATTCCTGTAGGGCAGTGTTACATATTTGTAATGAAATAAAGTGTTATTTTGTTTGGTGAAGCTAACAGAGTCAACTTGGACAGTATCCTCCAACATTTGACTTCTCCATTTGAATTTACAACTTCAACTAAACTGATAGTATAGATTTTCTATGTAGCATACACTAAAGGTGAAGTGAGAATCATACAAGGGACTTTCTTATGGTTATCAGATGGTTTTGTCTCTTCTATTTCCTTTGATTTTACTTGTATTTCTCTTCTGTTTTATTTGTTTTTTCTTATATTTCTCTCTATTTCACTTGCATTTCCTTCTATTTCACTTCTACTTCTCTTCTATTTCACTTCTATTTCTCTTCTACTTCTCTTCTATTTCACTTCTATTTCTCTTCTACTTCACTTCTATTTAAATTCTATTTCTCTTCTATTTCACTTCTATTTCACTTTTGTTTCAATTTCCCCCCTGTATATATCCCTTGTATTTCCCATCACGAATGACTGTCTTTCAGGAACGAGGTCTCAAGGATATGAATGTAATCTGTATAAACAGATTCAAGAAAGGCATCCTTGTCATTCCAGGACCCAGCTAGCTCCTGATACAGATGGTCTAGGCTCATATCCTGTTAGGAAGGGTTTATACACTTCGTCACCTCCAGTCTTCAATAATGATGTATATTGTTCTGGGTTGCTAATGAAACTCATCAGACACCTGTCTCTCATAAACATGAACAGCAGGAAGACACTGGAGATATCTGGTCAGAACTAGTTCCCGCCAGCCTATTCTGGTGAAGGACTACAGGAATCAGGTGGTCCGACTCAGAGACTTGTTTGACTTGGGTCAAGGTACCCTGATGTCTGGGGCATGGTGCTCACTATATCAATCACAGGTTTGGTTCAGTAATTTACAGGCCAGCATCTAGTCTGTCTCCCAGTCTCTGAACCACATTATTTTCCTGACTGCCCAGCCCTCCAAGCAATGCTAAACCCCTAAATGAATCAAGTCTAGATTTCCCTAGATCTCTGGTCTCCCTGGGGCTTCTTTTTTTTAATGGGTTTGTTTGTTGCAACAAACAAACCTAGCAGTAGTTCCTCTATCAAAGTATCAGGTTGTGTCAGGAATTCTTTGTTTCCAATTCCATATTTAGATAAACAGAAGTTATTAGAAGGAATAATGGTGCCGCAACAGACAATGAGGAAACAAACCAATGTAGAAGTAGTTCCTTCATCAAAGTTTCACGTCTGTCTCACAGTCCCTGAGCCACATTATATTCCCTTCCGCAGAGCCCCTTCTACAGTCCTAAAGCCCTGAATGAAAGTTTAGCTTTCATCAGTTTCTTAATCTCCCTTCTCACAGGGACTCCATATTAATTTAAAAGGAATTATTTGTTTCTGTCAGAATTATATATATTCAGAGACTAAGCCACAGTCTAGTAGTGACAGGAAATCTGTTTCTATATTTAGACCAACTCTGATCACTAAGATTAGGGGTGACACCAGGTGTTCACAAGGTAAGGGTGTTCTGCTCTGCCTATATCCTCCCCTCACTGAGACGCTGCATAAGAATACCTGGACATTTACCTGTAATTAGGGCATAAAACCATCTTTACCATTTCCATAGTAACCCTTCAGGTAAAATGACATATAGCCATGAAAGTCAATATGTAATGGAGGTATGAGTTTATCTTCTTGTTGGTTTTTGTGTATGATTCATACATCAAAGCTACTAAGATCGTTTCCAGTAATTAAATAGTGTCTGGTAATTAAAAGCAACTGCAGCATCCATTTACAAGGCTGAGGAGTTTAGTTCTTGAACTTCCTCACACAGTGTAATGTACAACCCTTGTTAGGATACCAGTGTACCTTGAGGTAAGACAGAACAAAACACTTCAAGTCCTTTACACACACTTAGCTTCCACCCCAGAACTGCCTCGCACAGGAAATGTAGTTCCTGAAACCTTCGGACAAGTACAAGGAACTGTTCTCCCCCTGATTCTTAAAACTTTAATCCACAAATGAGACCTCATTGCCATGAGATACTTTAATCCCTCCCAAGATTAGCGCCGGCATCATTTTACGTTGTGTTTGTTCTCATTATCTGCGTGTGACAGCGATGTTTGAGACGGAAGACTAACAGAATCTTGAGTTTGTCTTGAAGGTATTTGACGTGTATACACAGTAAAGCTTGCAGTCCACTGCAGCTGGGTGGTGCCCTCAAGTCACCGTCTCAATACGGGTATTTATACTCCCACAGTAGCCTCTTCTCATAATTAACATCCCGTTTGATTAATCACAGGACAGATACCACAGGCTTGGTCCCACAGTCAC